AATCCATTGGTTCAAGAGCTGCCCTCTGGAGTGGGGGGGGGAGCTTGCTTCATCTTGCATGTGACAGCCCTTGAGATATTTGAAGATGGCTAGCATATCACCTCTCAGTCTCCTCTTTTCTAGGCTAAACATACCCAGCTCCCTCAACTGTTCCCAATAAGGCTTAGTTTCTGGACCCCTGATCATCTTGGTTGCCCTCCTCTGCACACGTTCCAGCTTGTCAACATCCTTCTTAAATTGTGCCCAGAACTGGAAACAATACTTCAGGTGTGATCTGACCAAGTCATAATAGAGCGGTAATCTTGACTTCCCTTGATCTGGACACCATACTTCTGTTGATGCAGCCTAGAAGCGCATTAGCTTTTTTTGCTGCTGCATCACACTCTTGACTCATGTTACACTTGTGGTCTACTAAGACCCCTGGATCCTTTTCACATGTACTACTGGCAAGCCAGGTGTTCCTCATCTTATATGTGTGCAGCTGGTATTCCTGCCTAATTGCAGAACCTTATATTTGTCCCTACTGAAGTTCATTGTGTTAGTTTGAGCCCAGTTCTTCAGTGAGTTAAGGTCATACTGAATCCCAATTTTGCTTTTTGTGGCATTAGCTATCCCTCCCAGCTTGGTGTCACCTGTAAATTTGATGAGCATCCCCTCAATTCCTTCATCTAGATCTTTTTATAAAGACATTGAACAACAGCGGACCTAGGACAGAACCCTGTGGCACCCCACTGCTCACTTCTTTTGGGGATGATGAGGAACCATTAGTGAGCATTTTGGGTTCAGTCAGTCAACCAGCTACAAAGGCCTGAGACCTGTGGGTATAGGGTGGTATATAAATCCAATAAATGAAATAAAAATCAACCCAACAGTTACCTTGTCCAGCCTAAATTTTACTGCTTCTATACAGGAAATAATAACCAATAATAGCATCATTGATGCAACTCATCAGTGCAGTTATCTATGGTTATCTATGCTAAATATGGAGATGTGTGATAGTAATGTGTTTGGGTTTGATTCAGCTATTTTTCAGAAGCAGGGCTAATTTGCACTGTTTACCTTGGAAAAAATGCTGGGTGATATTTCAGAGTACATTTGGTTTGTCAGGAGACAGATCAACCCTAATGGTAGACACACTGCTATGATTAGTACTAGATGATCATTTCTTTCCATGTCTGTTGTGATAACTGTCTTCATATGCAGGGAAAGTCCCTAACTCACTTAGGGTTTGAGACCCATCGACTGCCCTCACCTGGTTTAGCCAACTATTCGAAGCCATTAGCAGGGTGTGGCCACAGTTGCATGCTGACAGCTTCCAGAAGCCACAAGTGAGAGCTGAGTGCAGGGTGGGGCCCAAACATGGACAAACTACACTAGAAGGAGCACAGTGTATTCCCCATCAGAAGTACTACCCCTTCCGGAAACTCCTGAAGCCAAGCTGGTGCCAAACGTATTGCTCTGCATTCCTTTAGACTACATCAGCAAGGCTGAGAGAGGGTCTTGTTGTCTGGGCAGCCCAGGACCTCCCTACACACTGCTCAGGCTTGCACTTTGGAGAGGTCACTTTGGTGCTGCTAACACAGTGGTTTGTCTTCACCCCAGAGGCATACTCCATTGCCTCTTGGCACTGACAGAATGCCAACAACAATGTCATACCTGACAACACAGCCACAGATAATGAAAGGTCAGCTTCTCTGTCTAACTTGTATGACAGGAGATGCAAAATGGCCAGGTACAAGACAACCAGTTAGTGCCTTGGGTATACCAGGAAGGAGCTCATTGTTAGGGTTGAGCAGAAGTGTTAGGGTTGTACCGCTTAGGAACATTTAATAGTAGGCAAAGTGGTCTAAACCACTGAGCCTCATGGGCTTGCCGTTCAGAAGGTCGGTGGTTCGAATCCCTGTGACAGGATGAGCTCCCGTTGCTCGGTCCCTGCTCCTACCAACCTAGCAGTTCGAAAGCACGCCAAAAATACAAGTAGATTAATAGGTACCACTCCGGCGGAAAGGTAAACGGCATTTCCGTGCGCTGCTCTGGTTTCGCCAGAAGCGGCTTAGTCATGCTGGCCACATGACCCGGAAAAACTGTCTGCGGACAAATACCGGCTCCCTCAGCCTGTAAAGCAAGATGAGCGCCGCAACCCCAAGAGTCGTTCGCAACTGGACTTAACTGTCAGGGGTCTTTTGCCTTTACCTAAAGGGAAATTAAGCAAAAGCTTCTGTACTTGAGTAAGGATTAATTTAGAGAAGGAAGGGAAGAGTCAAGGAAAACATTCAAAGTTATGTTCTCATATGGTATCTGTGTAATGAAGCAAAGAGGTTTTGGTCATTGATATAGAATATAACAGACAAAAATGACACTGCGACAATTTAGATTTTAGAATCCATTATATTTATACTAACTTGTACAAATGAGTCCATGGTCTTAATGCCATGTATCATTGTAGCTGCGAGATTGTGTTATGCAGAATAGGTAGGGAAAGGTTTGTGGCAAAGTGGGCGACATAAATGTAGGAATATACTGTAATAGGAAGCTTAGGCATTGCATAAGGGTGAAAGGAGGAGGCAAAAAATTAACAGATTTGTTCAGCATTGGAAAACGTTTCTTGATTAGTAGCCAAAAAACCCACACACACCTTCTAGTTTTTCCTTGTGAATTTAAGGCTATGTTTTTGGAAGCATCTGCATAGCTGCCTGCTTGAGCTTGGGATTAGCCAACAGCAGGATGGCACCCTGTGCAGGGGAGTACATTAGGATCACTGTTAGACACACTGAATAAACAGAGGTGATTCTTTCAATATTTTGAAGTACAATTATGGAATGTGCCACGTAAAAAAAAATGTAAACGATCAGGAGGGAGAGCACTGTCCCAGCTGCCCTGATATGAGCTTTTGTTTGGAGGCTTCGAAGACTGGCTCCTTTACCTGTCATCTTGCAGACATGTGTGTAGAGTGAGGCTACAATCACAATGGAGCACAATAAAACCACAAGAAGGGGACAGCCAGAAGCAGTCATTAAAAAAAAGGCTTGCAGAGAACGAGAAAGTTGGGTTGCTTTCTTTCCTTGAGTCACATTTGAAGTGTTGGTTGCTATGTTGCTCTGGAGCTGAAAAGAAATATGTGGGATTGTAATCAAGGAAACAAAAACCGAAAAGACTTGGGATCCCACAAGAAGCCAGGGCAGCAGCTGCGATATCCTCAGCTTGCACCAAAGGAAGAGGGTGTGGGTGCTGTTCACTATCTTGATGCAATAGAAGACGCAGAGCCAGGCAGTGAAACAAAATCGGGTGTATGAGACAAAGGTTGCAAAGAAGTAGAATGTTTGAAACACTAAGCCGTTGCTTGAGTTGGTTATTAAGAAATTAGTAATGACTGCAATCTCACAGGCAGTGGCAAAGATATTGGACGTACCCAGAGAGAGAAGTAGTTGTTCACAAGTTGCAAGACTCTTGCATTGAGCCCATTCAGTGACCATCACTGCAACTATAAAACCGTTGGAGATGAGCCCACCTAGAACCCAGTCACTTGCAGCCACCAGAAATGCAATGATTTTGGAAGAAAGCATATTTCCAGACCCTTGCAGACTGCTGTACAGGTGGACTGACCAAAGTTCTTGAGTTCATGCAGCGCACAGGTGTGATGGTAGCAGATCAGCAGCATACTTTTTAATCCATTGGGAACTATGCAAATTAACTGAGCATCAAACTATGTAAATCAATGTGCTACCAAGTTCCACAAGGCTCTTATTTGGGAGAGTGGTGTTGATACAGACTGTACAGAAGGGCTTCCTGTCACACAACCTTTTGTGAATCAGGGATGTTGCTCTATTTTGGGAGTTATATGTGAAACTAACACTGACTGGTTCCTTTAGATGGAGGATGAATGACACCTTGTTCAGAGATCCAGAAATTATCAGGAAGGCCCAAAAAATTATGAAAGATTATTTTGAGATTAATTTGAAGACATCAATAGAAAAAAGGGTAATCTGGGACGCAAGTAAAGCCGTAATGAGAGGATTTTTGATTCAACAGAATGCAATAAAAAGAGAACTCAAGATGAGAAAAAGGGAAAGATCCTGGAAAAAATAAAAGAAGGAGAGAAGAAGCTGAGAGCTAAACCAAAGTCGCAGGAGATCTTGAGAGAGATTAAGTTTCACCAAGCACAATTTATGAAAATGACAAATCAGGAGATAGAATGGAAAATCAAACAGATGAGACCACATTAGCTAAAGTGGTACCTCAGTTTAAGAACAGTTTCAGGTTAAGAACGGACCTCCAGAACGAATTAAGTTCTTAGCCCGAGGTACCCCTGTAATTGCACCTGAGGATCAAATAGGAATAGGACAGAATCTTTTATTAGAGTCATGAAACATTTAATTCTTGCATTGCTTCTGTGCTTCATTTGCCCCTTGGGATGTGGATAACAACCTACCTAAAGGGTGGGCAGGGGAGCAAAAAATTCAAACTAGCATGTAATAAATGTGTTGTGCTTAGAACACACAGGAAATACAATAGCACCATGTTGTTTTGAGACCTTGTTGTATATAAATCAAACTATTCAAAGTAGATAAGAGCACAGTATGATCAGAAATGTCTGACTCCAATAAATAACAACCAACCACATGTTCCTACGAGTCAACAGAGAGCACATAAAAGTGATAGCCTACCCATTCTTTCCACCTGCAGCATGCTGAGTCTGTTTCTTTCCACGTGAAGGCTCCATTTAGCTATTCTGATGAATAGCCATTGATAGACCTGTCCTTCATGGTACATCTAATCCTCTCCTAAGATCCAGGGGGGGGGACAGCAGGTGGCTTTGAGGATGGAGCAGGTCATGGCAAGACTTCAGAGGGAGATGAGACTGTGATGGAGACAGGTCTTAGTGTCCTTACAAAGAAGGAGATGGGACTGAAGGGAGTACATAGAAGCTATATATGAGAGTCTTTGCTCATCATAATCCACAGGAACTTCTAAAATATAATTTTGTGTTGTTCCCTTTGCAGGCTGTTGTGGTACCCAGAAGAGAATCATGCTGTAAGTGGAATGGAGGCTGAAGCAGATGTCTTTATGAACAGTGCACAATGGATTATGCATTACCTTTCTAAGGAAGCAGACCCTGAAAGTCAGCAGCCAGCTGAGAAAGAAAGGATCTCAAATATTAAAAAGCAGCCAGCCTGTGGAGATACACACCATGCCACAAGAAGATTGCCAGATAGAATAGATCAGGGGTCAGTAAACTTTTTCAGCAGGGGGCCGGTCCACTGTCCATCAGACCTTGTGGGGGGCCAGACTATATTTTGAAGGGGAAAAAAAGAAAAAAAATGAATTCCTATGCCCCACAAATAACCCAGAGATGCATTTTAAATAAAAGCACACATTCTGCTCATGTAAAAACATGCTGATTCCCAGACCGTCTGCGGACCGGATTTAGAAGACGATTGGGCCGGATCCGGGCCCCGGGCCTTAGTTTGCCTACCCGTGGAATAGATCTAGCCTTTGTATCCCTGACAGGAATCCCTTTCCTCTTTCAGAGTATTCTTAAAAGATGTGCTGCTGGTGCCTTGGAAACAGCCTTGTACAGATTCAAACCTTTGACCCCTGCAACCTAGTAATGTCTATGTTGACAGAGAGCAACTGTCAGAATGTCAGATTGTGGACGTTTCCAGCCCTATCTGAAGATGCTGATGATTCAGGCTGGGACCCTATGCATGGGCAGATGTTCTACCACTCTGCTACAATGCAGGTCCTTTTCAGAAAATCTGCAGCAAACAGTCAACTGTCTAATTGAACTTAACTCTCGTAGTAAAGCTGACGTCTTAAGAATTTGTATTGCTGCTTATAACTACAAGGCAGTGTGGATAGTTCTTTCTTATTTATTTATAGGACACCAGATCTTGGAATAAAAGGTGCTAAAATAAAAAAACTCAACCTTCTTGTTTTTATTGTTATATGTACTAAGCTATACATAACCAAACTGGTCCCTGAGGGAATTAAATGTCTTATAAGATTATAGCTTCAAGACTGTGGTATGCAAAATATGTGGGAAACACTGATATACCAACAACAACTATGTCACAGTGAGAACCCTAAATGTAGGAATATACAGCAATGGCAAAGCTTATGAGTTTTATAAGGATGAAAGAAGGAGGGGCAAAAATTAACAGGTTTTCCCCCCAAGATTGGAAAATGTTTGTTAATTATTGGCATAATAAAGCAGATACTTCAGGAGATAACACTTTTATTTGACATGCTGTAACAAGAACAAATAACAACAAATAGGTTTAAAAGCTAACACATTTATGCATGTAATGTTATCCTGAGTGGCAAGTACATATATAAATATTTTGGGTGTGGAGATTGTAAAAAGTGAGGTCAGATGGAAATGAAATGTGCAAAACCTCCAACTGTGAGAATTACTTATTTAGCAGGTGTAGTTCACAAAACAGTTTTTGATGTCACAGATATTGTTGCTTTGGTAAGTAAATACAACGTGCTAAGAATTTTCTTTCGCTGTTCCATCAACAAATATAGCAGTGAAAACTCTTGATGTGTATTGTAATTTAGTGGTTTCACATTGCAGTGTCCCTATGAAGCTCCTTTGCTACAGGGTGACTAGTCAAAATTTATTTACACAGTGTACTGGACAGTTAAAATGCATACTGTATTGACATTTCTGATGTTCAATTTTTGTCCATTTCTTATTTTGCATAGAGACTGCCCTGTGTAAAATGCAGAAGGGCATAACTGGCAGGTGGCATATATCACATGAAGAGGGGAATCAATCCCTTATGTTGCTGATGGCATTATCAGGCCCAGGAAAGGTATTACACTCTAGTTTGGCCCTAAGAATTTTCTTAAATAATCCTTGTTATTGGTATTTTTCAGCACAGGAATAAGAAACCTGTGTGCCTAACAGAACGGCACGGGGGGGGGGGACCAAACCAATAACTTAAACACAGTGCTCTCTGTTTGGCCAGTGTCAATGTCCTTAAGAATTGTTAAGTCTCTGTTTTTGGAAACATCCTGGCAGCTGCCTGCTTGAGTTTGGGATTAACCAACATACCTGGGTGTTTTTTTTACCCTGTCCAATTGTAAGCAAGGTCTCTGTCAGGCAAAAAGAGATAGCATCAGGAGGGAGAGCACTTTTCCAGCTGCCTTGATGTGAGCTACCATTTGGGGACTCTGAAAATTCAATCCTTTACCTGTCATCTTGCAGAAATGTCTAAAGCGTGAGGCTACAACCATGATGGAGCAAAGGAAAACCGCAAGAAAGGGACAGCCAGAACCAGTATGGGTGGGAAAGGCCTGAAAAATTCAGTCTGTCTTTCCTTGCGTCACATTTGTTACATTGTCTGGTATTTTGCTGTGGATTATTTTATAAATATTCTGCACTGCAAACGGGGGGGACGGGGGACAGTGAGATGAGATCCCACAAGAAGCCTGATATCCTCAGCTTGCACCAAAGGAAGAGGGAATGGGTGCTGTTCACTATCTTGATGCAATATAAGATGCAGAGCCAGGCTGCGAGCCAGAATTGAGAGAATGTGACAAAGGTTTTAAAAACAGAGCATTTGTGGTATTAAGTACTACCTAGTGAAAAATGGAACCATAAAACCTGTATAGCAGACATTGGACATACCCAATGCCGTAGTTGTTCGCTGACGGCAAGGTTCCTGCATTCAACCCATTCAGTGATGATCACTGCAACTATAAAGCCATTGGAGAAGGCCAAGTCCATTACATCCACCAGAAATGCAATAATATGGGGGAGAAGGCATATCTCTGGATTCTTGCAGATTGCTAGACTTTCACTAGCATTGAGATGGGGAGTCCAAGTGAGGTAGCAGGTCTATAGTATACTTTCTCAATGGGTTGGGAACTATGCAAATGAACTATGCATCAAACTATGTAAATTCATGGGACTCTTGGCCTTCCCATTTCCATGATGCTTCTACACAGTATAGTGGTGTTGATGACAAACTATATTGAATGGCTTTGTATAAATTGAATTGGTGCTTCATCTTGGTGGTTATATGGAACAAGAAATTTTGCCCAAGAGAACCCTGTTGGGTCTAGATTTTACTGCTCAGGTAAAGCATAGGAGGAACTGGAAATACTGCTGTTGAAACATGGAAGGACCACCCCTGGTGGTTACAATATGGGGTATCATAGGGCACTATTCTATCCCCATTGCTGGGAGCAGCCATTAGGACTTTGGGGGCCAGGTGCGATTTGTATGCTGATCCTCAGCTCTCTTTCTCCAGAAGTTCTGAATCAGGAGAAGCCATGTGGGCCCTGGGCTGATTCCTTGATACAGACTTGGGATGGATGAGGGGGAATAAGCTTGTTTGTATCCTGGCAAGATGGCTTTGATCTGTGGAACTGTCATGGTTACAGATGCCACATAATATCTGTTCAGTAGCTGTAAGAAATTGATCTTTTAATGTGGTAGCACCTAAACTGGAACTCCCTGCCTATTGATATCAGACATATGCCTTTGCTGTGCTCTTTCTGGTGCCTGTGCAGACATACAGAAGTTACAGTCGTACTTCCGTTTACGTAACCCTCTGGTTACGTAAACTTTGGGATCGCGCGCGGCAAACCTGGAAGTATTTTACTGGATTTCACTGCGTGTGCATGCGCAGAAGTGGTCCTCAGGTTGCAGAAACCTCGGGATCCAACTGGACCTCCGAAACAGATCCCGCCTGTACCACTGTACATGTGTTTTTCTCTTTTTAGCTACTGTTGATTTTAATTATATTCTGACTGATTTTAAATACATACAGTCATACCTTGGTTGTCAAATGGAATCTGTTCTGGAAGTCCGTTCGACTTCCAAAAACGTTAGACAATCAAGGCGCGGCTTCCGATTGGCGGCAGGAGCTTCCTGCACTCAATCGGAAGCTGCAGAAGCCGCGTCGGATGTTCAGGTTCCAAAGGACGTTTGCAAACCGGAAGTCACTTCCGGGTTTGTGGCGTTCCGGAGCCAAAACATTTGACTCCCAAGGAGTTCCAGAACCAAGGTATGACTGTACTTGTTCTTAAACTTTATATTGAGAATTTTATTGTTTATATTTTTGTAACCAGTTAGAAGGATTGTGGGTTTTTTTTACAGTCAAGGGCACATAAATTTTGTTAAATAAAATAAACAGTAACTCCATCTCTCCACTGACCCACAGTCTATTCATAACACAGAAAAAGCTGTAATACTGCAAAATGCTTTAGTTTCTTCTGTTAGTTTAGCCAAAAGACCTCATTGCCCGTGTTATTCAAAGTAACATTTTTCACTTTGCTCAAGATAGTTGTTAATTTCTGAAGTATGCTTTTAAATTAAGGGACACAGACAGCCCAATCCTATGCAACCATGGAATTTAATCCTACTGTATTTAGTGGACTTACTCTAAAGTAAGCGTGCACAGATTGTAGCCCTAATTGATTAGTTTACCTGTCAAAACATGATAGGTTTGGGTTTCTTCAGTGTCTTAAAAAGCATAGAGATTTGCTTGGTGCTGTTTTCCAGAATAGAAAATGGAAATATATGTATTTTATTAAGCAAAGCAGTAACTAATTCCATTCTATATTTGCATCGCTGTATTTGCAACTGAGGATCAAATAGGCAAAGGACAGTACTTTTTATTAGATTTCTGAAACAGCTGGTTCTTGCACTGCCTCTGGTTTCTGTTGGCCCATGAGATGTGCATAACAATCTTCATAAAGGGCAGGGAGAGAGAGAGAAATCAAACTAATGTGTAAGAAATATGTTGTGTTCTGAGCATGCAAGAACTGCAATCACACAAAATGTTGAGGGGAGACATTTGATGCACAAAAAAGAGCCACAAAAGCTTCTGGTAGTTGGTGTTTAACAACATCTGCAGGTAGTGGATGGTGGGGTAGCTTTCCAGGCATCCAAATTGCCTAGCAAAGTTTGAAATTCTTGTGGTTGATGAAAAAGGAAATTATAAAGGTCTAGCCTTCCTATATACATGCAATATTCTACTGTTGGTCATCTGTCCCAGATGAGGGCATCATGGAGAAGGGGACCAGTTGCCAAGGGGAAGTGGGAAGAAATCGGAGAACTCCAGGGAGGGAGAAGCTAAATCCATTTCATAGGACACTCTGGATATAGGGAGGGGAAAGTGTGGGACAGAAGTAGATGGAGAAGAAGAAAAGGGGGAATTGAAGGAGGTACAATAGGGCTTCACAATCCACATTAAGCCAGTGTATGGATGGAGTGCCTATTGAACTTAATCTTGCTGGCAAGGTTGACGAATATGAATTTGCATTGCAACTTACGATTTCTGCCATTATCTTCAGCCAAAACAGATTAAATAGTGCTTGCTTGATCACTTGCTTCTTTCTTTCTTTCTTTCTTTCTTTCTTTCTTTCTTTCTTTCTTTCTTTCTTTCTTTCTTTGTTTTTCTTTACAGGGTACCTGATTTTGGTATAACAAGTTCTAAAGTCAAAATCTGACCTTTGTCATATTACCCTTGTTGTATTTTATTAACCTATAAACACACACACACATGGTCCAAGTATAACAGAGGGAATTTAAATTTTATGTGAGTAAAGTTTCAAGACTGGTATGCAAAATGTTTGGAAAAGGCAAGAACCATGACATAGTGAGAATTCAAAACGCAGGACTATGCAGTAATGGCAAAACTTATGAGTTTATACAAATGAAACAAGGGAGGCAAAAAGTAAGAGGCTTATTATTCAAGATAAGCAATTGCTAATGGATTGTTGGCATAATAAAGCACATCAGTAAATAATAAGACTTTTATTTGACATGCTGTAACAAACAAGAACAGTGAAAAGTCGTAAGGCAGAAAATAACAATAGTAATAGTAGTAGTAATAATTAATAATAATTTATACCCCCGCCCATCTGGCTGGGTTTCCCCAGCCACTCTGGGCAGCTTCCAACAAAACCTTAAGATACAATAATTCATAAAATATTAAAAACTTCCCTAAACATTTTCCCCTATAGAAAAAATGTATGTACAATTATTCTGAGCTGCAAGGGTGTGTTGGTGTGGTGACTGTAAAAAGTAAGATCAGAGGACATGAAATGTGTAAAACTTTGGACAGTGATAATTACATGGTTAACAGTGGTAATTTCCAAAACAATTTTTTATGAAGCAGATATCATGGCACCGTTAAGTACAAGGAATGGACAAGGAATTATTTCACTCAGTTCACTCCACAAATGATAGCACTGAAACTCTTGATATATTGTGATTCAATGGTTTCATGTCGCAGTGTCCCTTTGAAGTTCCTTTGCTGTAGGATGGCAACTTTAAGGTTATTTACAGAGTGTCATAAAAGCATTCTGCCAAAGGCTTTTTGAATATTGCCATCTCTGATGTCAGACTTCTGTCCATTTCTTATTTTGCATATAGGCTGGTGTGTTTGTCCTGTGTAGAATGCAGAAAGGAGTTTCTGATGGCGGATATCACGTAAGAAGATTGCAGATATCACATTGGAAGGTGAGGAGGTGAACAAACTCCTGCTGTTGTGAACAGCATTCTAAGGCTGTGTAATAGTATTGTCAGAGTGAATTTGTGGACAGAGATGGCATCTGCGTCTGCCACAGGGGCTGCTCCCTGGTATACAGATCCCTGGCATAGGTATGTTGTTTCTTGGGAAGGGCTGTTCAAGAGCAGGAGGTGCCTGTAAACATCACGTTCCTTTGTTTTTGTTTTGCTCTTTTCTAATCTAGGTCTCTCCTATGGCAATTCTTAGATGCCTTGACCAATGAGCCTGAAGGGATGTTAATGTTTCATTTTAAAAAAGGAAGTTGCTGGCTTAGGGGTAGGAAGCAAGGCTGCTTGTGACTGGGGCAAGGTGGGGCAGGAGTCTTTAACCACTCATCACCCCCCATCCCAATGGGAGGAAATCTGCTGTTGGCATCAATAGGCCCTTTCTCCCCATGGCAAATGGCAGGCATGATAGGAGGGGCCAATTCCAGTTTGTGTGCTGGAGAAAACATGCACACTCTACTCCTGACCAGCCTTGGGCCCCCTGAGCTGGCTCTTCACAAAAGGCAACACCTAAGAATGGTTAAGGCTTTCTTCTTGGAAGCATCCTGGCAGCTGCCTGCTTCAGCTTGGGATTCACCAACACCAGGAGGGCAGCCTGCACAGGGGAGTACATTAGTATCATTGTTACACACACTGAAATGGCAACTATATCTTTGTTAATACAGCCAGTTAAAAATAAGATCTTTGCCACGTAAAAAGAAATGGAAAGCACCAGCAGGAGGAGGACTGTCCCAGCTGCCTTCGTGTGAGCATCTGTTTGAAGGCTCCTAATATTGGATTCTTTCCCAGTCAGTTTGTAGACATGTCTGTAGAGTGAGGCTACAACCATGATTGAGCAAGGAAAAACTATCAGGAACGGGCAGCCAGCACCAGTAATCAAAAAGAAGATTTTGAAATTAGTAGCAAAATCAAGCTCTGTCTGGTCTTGCGTCATGTTTGTAATGCTTCCCTGGGGTTTAATATACACACTCTGCAGTGCAAAGAAGGAAGCAAGCAAGGAGATGGCTTGAGATCCCCCAAGAAGCCAAGGTATTATCCGTGATATCCTCAGCTTGCACCAAAGAAAAAGGGAGCAGTTGTTCTTAACGATCTTGAGATAATAGAAGAGGCAGAGCCAGGCAGTAAGCCAGAATCGGGAGAATGTGAGAAAGGTTCCAATGAAGTAGCATGTTTGTAATATTAAGGGGCTGCTAATGTCAGAGATTAAGTAGTACTTAATTAAATATGGAGACAGAACACCCGAGAAGCCGATATTGGACATACCTAGGGACAGAAGAAGTTGTTCTCTAGCATCAAGTTTCCTGCTTTTAGCCCACTCAGTGACTATCACTGCAACAATAAAGCCATTGGAGATGAGCCCACCGATAGCCAGGACAGCTAGAGACGCCAGAAAGGCAATAAGTTGAGGAGAAGGCATCTCTCCGTATCCTTGCAGATTACTGTACCAGGTGGCCTTTCACCGATCCAAAGTTGCCCCACTGAGATGCAGTGTGCAAGTGAGACAGAACATCTGCAGCATCCTTATGAATGACTGGGGAACTATGCAAATGAACTGTGAACCAAATTATAAATTAATGAGACTCTCCGGCTGCTCATTTCCATAATGCGTCTATCTGGCATAGTGGTGTGGACAGAAACTGTATCAGAGGGCTGCCTGTCACTCCACTTTGTATAAATTGGGGGGGGGCAGCTGCTCCATTTTGCCAGGCCCGTGAATAAGAAAGCTTGCCACAGGCAACCACTTTGCAGTGGCCCAGAGTTTATGTAAAGAATAGGAGGAGCTGGAAATTCCAGCTGGCTTGTTTGTCCTCAGACCCTCCTGCTTCTGATTCCCAGGCCTCTGCAGCCTTGCCTTTTATTTGATCCCAGATTATAGGCAAATGCTTCTTCCTCAACAGCATGCCCCAAAGTAAAATCTATCTGCAGTTATTTCCAATGAAGTTTTCCTTTCCTTTGCCTGCTGCTAATTTCTTTAAGCGCAGTACAGTATTTATTCTTTTAAAAACAGATCAATGCAAGCTCCAATTGCAGTGTGTAACAACCACAATAGCAGACTTAGCTCATAATTCCAGCTGCACTCATTTTTTATTGCACATTCTGCACTGCTGCACATTCTCCACTCCAGCTCTGCATGAACCCAGTATATTTATAATGTAGAACCTATATTTAACACTACCCAGTACTTTTGTTTCTTCTGCCTAGTTTTTCCAAAAGACCTCACTGTGTGTGTGATTCAGTTACCATTTTGACTGCACTGTTGCCATGCCAAAGATCTAAACTTTTGGATCTTTAAACAGAGGGACATGTCCAGCCCAATCCTACTATATTCAGTGGCCTTTCTCTAAGGTTAGTGCACCTACGTTTGCATTCCTGATTGATGGGTTTACTTGCAAATCAAGATAGGATTGTGGTTTTTTTAGTGTCTTAAAAAGCACAGATTTGCTTGTTGCTATTTTCCAGAGCAGGAAATGCAAAGATGTGTATTTTATTTAGCACATTGGTAACTGGATCTGTTTGCCTATTTGATCCTCAGCTGTAATTATAGCAATGCAAATAGCAAAGGACAGCATCTTTTATTAGGGTCTGTAAAATGTCTAATTCTTGCACTGCATCTGTGCTTCCATCACACTTTGAGCTGTGGATCTCAACCTTCATAAAGGGCAGAGAGAGGAAGAGAAATGCCACGTGACACGTTAGGAGAAATGTGGTGCTTTGAGTGATCAAAGTTGGTTCCAGTAATATTTTCAGGCAGGAGCTGACAATATGGCGGGATAAGACAGCACTGCCTCTCAGGGTCCCTCTAGGTTGCTGCAAGAGAGGGAAGCAAGGTAGCAGAGATCTCAGTGTAGTCCTCCCGGTGGCTTGGGTGCACCAACCTCCTCACCTGAATTGCCTTCTCATCTCTTCTCCCTCTCAGTAATAAGCCTGGACCTCGGATTTGGGAAGTGAGGAAAGCAAGACATCCCAATCCCACCAACAGCTGCTGTCTGCAGGATATTAGGTTACCTCTACATTAACTTATTTCACTGTTAACAGGGATGGGGAACCTGTGGCCATTCAGATGTTGTTGGATCACAACTCCCATCATCCCTCACTAGGAGGACCAATGGTAAGGGATGATGGGAATTGTAGTTCAAAAACAGCTGGAGACCCAGGTTCAGGAAACTCTGATCAACCCCCTGCCATGCAGGAATCTTTCACCCAATGAGGGGCTTGGACCCACGATCCTGAGATTGAGCCTTATGCTCTTCTGACTGAGCTATCTCTAAGGAAATTTATGGACCTATTAAATTAACAGGTGTATGAAAACAGGACCTACGTTCTGTCCTGTTCACAATGTGGGCAGGCAGGGATGATACAAAGGCAAAACAACACCAAGACAGGCAAATGGAATTCAAATCCTATGGAGATGTATGATAAAAGTGACTAACAAATTTAATAATAATCATAATCATAATAATAATAATAATATCATCATCTTAGGGAGAAAGTAACTTACAGAGATGATACCTTCGATTTTTGAAACATCTAATTCTGACATTGCCTCTGTGCATCAATTGCCCCTCAAGATCAAGCAATAAGCTTCATAAAGGACGGGGAGGGGGGGAAGCAAACTAACGTAATAAACACAGTACGTTGTGTTTTGGGCACACAGGAAACACTATCATACACAATATTGTGGGGAGACATAGATGCACAGAGGCTGATCCATCCCAAGAATATAAGTGTGCCGTACAATCAAAAATTTCTGACTCCATCAAGTAGCAGCCAAGCAGCTGTTCCTAGCTGCCACAGACAGTGCACAAAAGTGATAGCCTACCCATTCTGTCCAGTTAATAGCTGCTGGTAGACCTGTCCTTCACTGAAGCATTAATCCCCTTCTGAGATCCAGAGGGAGAGCAGGTGGCTCTGAGGAAGGAGCAGGTCATGGTAGGAACTCAGAGGGAGGTGAAGCTGTGAGGAGACAGACTTTAGTGTCCTTACAAAGAAGAAGATGAGACTGAATGGAGTTCAAGGAAGGAAGGGTGGGTACGTGGGAGTCTTAACTCATCATAGTCCACAGGAATTGAAAATGTATGAATATGTTGTTTCATAAGGGTGAAAGAAGGGAGGCAATAAAGTAACAGGTGTTTTTTTTCAGGATCAGAAAATGTTTATTGCCTCCTGACATAATAAGGTACATACTACAAGATATAATTAGGCTTTTATTTTACATCATGTAAAAACAAATAAGAATGGTGAAGAGACTCAAGGCTAGCACATTTATGCATGTTGTCCTGGAGTTGCCAGTACAAATATACGTCTGGGTGTGGGCAATCGTAAAAAAAATAAGGTCAGAGGGAAATGAAAAGTGTAAAACTTCAGCCAGTGATAATTACATAGTTAACAGTGGTAATTTCCAAAACCGTTTTTTAAATGTGGATATCATGGCACCGTTAAGCACATGGAATGTGCTAGGAGTTCTTTGTGTCAGTTCAGTTCACAAATGATATCGGTGAAAACTCCTGATGTATTGTAATTCAGTGGTTTCATGTCGCCATGTCTCTTTTGAAGTTCCTTTGCTGCAGGATAGCTATTTTCAGGTTATTTACACAGTGTCCTAGGACCTAGAACGTTTCAGTGTTCCGCCGTGTCCTTTTGAATATTGAGATTTCTGACATCCGATTTTTGACCATTTTGTATTTTGTGGCTCATTCCTCCTCTATAGAAAGCAAAAGGGCAGTGCTGGCAGATGATGGCAGACATCATGTTGGAAGGTGAGCAGGTGAACAATCCCCTGAGGTTTGGGATGGCATCATTAATCCTGAAACAGTTTTCCCAGAGTAAGTTCCCCATCTCTATAGCCCTGTCAAGGGCATGTTGTTCCTTGGGAAGAGCTGTTTTAGATCAGGAGATGCATGTAAGGATGTATAAGTCAACAGCCAAGGGAAGTGTCATTCTCCAGACTTGGATGTCAATAACTGATGAAATGTGTGAGTGATTTCATTTGGGGGCTGTAAGTCGCATCTGCTTTGTTTTGCTGTTTTAGATGAGCCTTGTACTTTGAGGAATGCCTGGTGTAAGTTGTTAAGCAGTGAGTCCTTATCCCGTGATCCTGAAGAGATGTAGCAGGCTTCATTTTAAGAAAGTAGCTGCCCTGCGGAAGGGGTGGGGAGAGAAGGCTGGTTGTGACTGTGGCAAGGAGGGCAAGGCACTTTAACCATTAATCCTTCCTTTTCCCGATCAGAATCGCAGTGGCAGGATAGCACTGACTGGAACCAAGAGGGGCTTTCCCAGCATTGCAAGTAGCAGCCATGATGGGAGCAGGACAAAGCTGATTGAAAACATGAGAGCAAACAAAATGTTACAGTCCTTTCTCCACTTCACACCCTACGCTTGACCAGGCTTGGGCCCCCTGAGCCAGCTCTTTTTACAAAATGCAACATCTAAGAATTATGAAGGCTTTGCTCTTGGAAGCATCCTGGCAGCTGCCTGCTTGAGCTTAGGATTCACCGACACCAGGATGGCAGCCTGCACAGGGGAATACGATATTATAACTGTTATACACACTGAAGTAGCATATATGTTTTTTCCAGCTTGTCCAGTTATAAACAAAGTCTCTGCCACATAAAAAAAAATGGAAAGAATCAGGAGGAAGAGCACTGTTCCAGCTGCCTTGACGTGGGCTTCTGTTTGAGGGCTCCTAAATTTGGATTCTTTACCTGTCATCTGGCAGACATGCCTACAGAGCGAGGTCACAACCAGGATGGAGCAAATGAAAACTATAAGAAAGGGACAGACAGTATGACCAATTAGAAGCAAGTCTTCAAGAAAGCAGTCAAGCTTATTCTCTGTCTTCCCTTGTGTCATGTTTGCATTGTTGACTGTTGCATTGCTCATGAGAGAATTGCATTGCTCATTTTGAATTGCAGTGAAGGACGCAAGAAACGTGATGACAAGAGAGCCCCCAAGAAGCCAGGGCACCAGGCGCGATATCCTCAGCTTGCACCAAAGGAAGAGGGAGTGTGTGCTGTTCACTATCTTGATGCAATAGAAGACACAGAGCCAGGCAATGACCCAGAGTCGGGAGAATAGGCCAAAGGCTAAAAAGTAGAAATATATGCTAAATATTACGCCGTTGCTGGTTTCAGGCTTTAACCCGTATCTAATTAAAAATGCAGTCAGAGTAAGTGTGAAGAAGATATTGCACGTACCCATGGATAGAATAAGTTGCTCCCTAGCTGCGAGGGTCTTGCATTTAGCCCATTCAATGACTATCACTGCAACTACAAAGCCATTGGAGACGAGCCCACCGAGGGCCAAGTCAATTAAAGCCACCAGAAAGGTAATGATCTGGGAAGAAGGCATCTCTCCGGATCCTTTCAGACTGCTGGACAGGTAAGACTTTCAGCAACCAAAATTGTTGAGCTAAAGTGGAGAGTGTGAGTGAGTTAGCAGGGCTGTGGCATACTTTTAAATAGGCTGGGGACCATGCAAACAAACCATGTGCCGGACTATGTAAATGAATGGGATTTTCAGGCTCCTCCTTTCCTTACTGCTTCTATCTCACATAGTGGTGTTGATACACTATACCAAAGGGCCCCCTGACAAAGTTGTCTTGAGTGAGGGTGGTACTCCTTTTGGGTGGGTTTCAGAATAAGAAAGTTAGTGGCCCAGACTCTACTACTCAGGCAATAAATAGAAGTAGCTGGAAATTCTGCTGTTGGCACCTGGAAGAAACCACCTTGCCTTCAGACTTTCTTCAGCCCACATTTTTTATTGGTTCCACTTTAAAAGCAAATTCTATTTCCTTAACAGTAAGTTAGTTTGCGTCTCCAAACTAAAAGCCTTATGCAGTCCTTTGTAGCTGGTCATTCCTTTCGTAGCTGCTCATTTCTCCCCAATACACCATTTCTTCTTTAAAAACAGATACAAGATTCTCAATACAAGATCAAAATCCAGCATGTGACAATCAAAATAGCAGTTAGTTCAGAGATCCACCACCACTCATTTGCTCATTGCACAGGATGCCTTTCTGCTGCTGCTTAAATCAACACCAGCACTTGTTGTTGTTGTTTAGTCGTTTAGTTGTGTCCGACTCTTCGTGACCCCATGGACCAGAGCACGCCAGGCACCTCTGTCCTCCACTACCTCCCGCAGTTTGGTCAGACTCATGCTGGTAACCTCGAAAACACTATCCAACCACCTCGTCCTCTGTCGCCCCCTTCTCCTTGTGCCCTCCATCTTTCCCAGCATCAGTGTCTTCTCCAAGGAGTCTTCTCTTCTCATGAGGTGGCCAAAGTACTGGAGCCTCAGCTTCACGATCCAAAGCTTATTCATAATGGAGTTTCTAATACTGTCAGATATCTTTGTTTTATTTTGCAAAAAGACCTCATTGCCTGTGTCATTCAGATTAACATTTTTGACTGTGCTCAAGGTTGTTGCTGCCGTGCCAAAGATCTGAACTTTTGAGGAGGTGGGAATTAGTGCTGTTCACAATCTTGATACAATGGAAGACACACAAAGCCAGACAATTACCCAGAGATGGCAGACATGTATACATATTTGATGAAACACACATGTATACTGCCCAATCCTATTCATGCTTGGAATTTAATCCTAGTACAGGAGTCTGCAACCTTTAAGACAAAAAGAGCCACTTGGACCAAAGAAAAAAAAACTGGGAGCCGCAAAACCATTGCGACATTTAAAACAGTGGGGAGTGTCAGGGCACACAATGCGCCTCCTCCCCTCGCTAGTATCCGCCCCGGAGCCGCGGCAAAGGTGTAAAAGAGCCACATGCGGCTCCGGAGCCGCGGGTTGCTGACCCCTGAACTAGTATATTCAATGGGCTTTTCCTAAGGCAAGGGCAGATAAGATTGATCAGTTTACCAGTCAAATCATGATAGGGTTTTGTTTCTTTGGTGTATTAAAAAAGCACACAGATTTGCTTGTTGCTGTTTTCCAAAACAGGAAATGCAAAGATGTGTCTTTTATTTAGCACAGTGGTAACTGTATCTGTTTTCCATCTCCGATGGTTCCTCATCTTCCTGGGGAAAAAGTGACAAATGAGGTGCCACAGGGTTCTGTCCTGGGCTGATTATTGTTGTTCAACGTCTTTTTGAATGACTTGGAGGAAGGCATTGAAGGGGTGCTCATCAAATCTGCAGATGACTCCAAACTGGGAGGGGAAACTAGAAGACAGAATTTGGATTCAAAATGACCATAACATATTGGAGAACTGAGCCCAAACTAATACAATGAATTTCAATAGGGACAAATGTAAGGTTCTGCCCTTAGGCAAGAAGAGCCAGCTGCACAAATATAAAATGGGGGTTGTGGGCTTGAGCCCCACATTGGACAAAAGATTCCTGCATCGCAGGAGGTTGGACTAGATGACCCGTGTAGTCCCTTCCAACTCTACAGTTCTATGAATATATAGTATGTGAAAATAACCATATATCATAAAGACACCACAGTCTCCACTGTGCCTCATTAACAAAAGGAAACACGAACCCTGAGTAAGCGCCTGGAACCCTGGTAATCTCGCATCACTTGGAGATTAGGGTGGCATGCAACAATATTATTACTATACTATACTATACTATACTATACTATACTATACTATACCATACCATACCATACTTAAAGCCTTTTTTCCATTGGAAAAGTAAGTTACTTTGTGAGTTCCCAGGCACTGATAAGGTCAGCCATGCATTGAGCTTCAACAATGTTAGAGCATCATGCTTTGCATTAAGTATTGCCTGTACTCTGTTATTAATAGTTTCAGAGGAACTTTGAACTGTTTGTTCAACTTTGCACTGTCAGGACTTAAAAAGAGGATTTCATTAATGGTTAAAAAAATGTAGGTTACACAAAGCCTGAATAATGAAGCTTTCTTTCAGCCAATGAATTTTGACAAAAAGGAATGAATTATTACTATTAATTTATTACAAAGTTTTTTTAATGATATAATAATAATACCAACAATATGGAAGCTTATTTTGTAACAAGAAAGATAGACAGATGGAAGTTCTTAGGAAACCCGGTGCCTTGCTTAGCAGGGGATGCAGTGACATGGAGCCTGCAGTGTGGCCTCAGCCTATATGACAATCCCTGGGAAGGAGAGAAGGAACCTTCCTTCAAAGAGATGGGAAAGTGTGTAAAGAGCTACTGCAATGGGGTTGCTGCTGGAGAGAGCATGACACCAATATTATTTGTTCAAACCTTCTGAAAGTGTGTGTTTCTGTATGGAAGGTACATAAACCAATGTAGTAGCCTGACTCGAAATGATTTTTAAATTAGCTCAGGTTGTAGAGCACGAGACTCTGAATCTCAGGGTTGTGTGTTTGAGTCCCACATTGGGCAAAAAGATTCCTGCTTTGCAGGGGTTGGACTAGATGATCCTTGTGGTCCCTTCCGACTCTACAATTCTGTGGTACATGGGACTGTGCTGCGATGCATTCAAACAAATTACTACTGTATCGGTTTGGTGGTGTTTTGTTCTATTGATATACCTGTGATCCCATGATGACAGCTATTCCTGTAGAAGGAGAAGAAAAGTGTGTCTGGGTTATGGCAGCATTTGTTTCAAAAGCATCGCCTATGTGCTCCAAAAGGGCAGGCTCAGCACAAAGTTCCCCCAAAGTTCACAGCCTGTCTTGGAAAATGTCCTCCCATTTGGCAACACTGATCCTTATTAAAGGACCTCAGATCTCAAGGATGGTGATTGTGGAGGAAGGAAGGCTTCATGATGAGTTGGTTCCAGCCACACAGCTCAGCTCAACTTCATTACTTTGTTGATCCAGTCAACATAAAGGGAGACACGGATGAAAGTGGCAGGCTTCTCTTTGTGAGCGCAAACGCGGTTGGGGGTGATCACACCTTCCAACACCCAGCAGTCATGAGTCAAGCAAGCCAAGGGGCCTCCAAAGTCACGCTGCAGGTGTGAAGCAGAGAACAAAAGACACATTCAGTTCAAACAAAACATGGCTCAGTGCCTGTAGGGCAGAGCAACACCATCAAGGCACAAGAGGTGGTTTTTCTTCTTCCTAGAATTTGCTCAAGTATTTATGTCTCCCCTTTCCCTGTCATGAGGTCCTTTATTTGTGGATCCCCTCATCCACTTCTTCCCTCAGAAGACTGTTTCCTGGTACTGGTCTTAACCTTTCTAGCCTTTTCCTAACCTTGTCTTCCTTCCCTCTCTGCAGGTGCCTCCTCCTCTTGGGAATCTACATGAGAAGCAGAAGGAGGATATGTGTCTCACCTCACATATCAGGGCACTCAAACCAGCTCAGTTCAGCCCCGCACATACCCTGCCTTGCTTACCTCACAGGCTCCCACAGGTACGTTCAAGGGCGCTGTGCACAATTCACTCTCCTTCACACGGCCTCGAAGAGCCACATTGCAGTCTTGGTTGCTCATGATTGGCAGCTTGGCCACATTGAGGACATTTTCATTACCAGTGCCTGCATGGGGAGCAGAATCAGAGCCTTAGCATCAATGGTTGGGGGTCACCCTGAGGGTGAGGGCAGTACCTCCCAAAAAAAACCTTTGTTTATGGCTTGCAACCTGGATGGGTGGGGGAGTGTGGAAGGGAAATTAGCATGGAAGGAAAATTATTGGCTGCCTGTTTGGCTTCAGACCTATGATAATGGTGGGTATAAGGGTGCTGTTGGTGAGAGCTAGTGTAGGAGTGTCTGAACTACCCCAAGTGAGAGATGGGGGTGGGCTCCCTAGATGCTTGAAGAGAGCCTCAGAACCACGCTATGGGATGCAGGTATATTATACAATACTTTTTGTTTCTGTGTTCGGCAATAGTCTCATTTTAAGGTGCTAACCTAATTTTAACTTTTGTATTGTTTTATACAATGTTAACTTTTTGTACTTATTTATTGATACTGTATTATGGTTATTTCTAATTGTTTCGAATAATATTCTTAGAACTCTTATCCTTATTGCTCATTTGATATGCTGTGAGCCACTCTGGGTACAATCTCCTGGAAAAATGGCATACAAATCAACAAATGGTGGTGAGGATAAACTGGTTTAGGCAACCTCCTATATAGCTGGACCATGTCATGAGGGGCACACACTGTGAGGCAGGGTCAGTGAGTGGGTCCAGCATGCATCAAAGCTTTTTATTCGACTGGGAAACATAAGCTCTGCAGCTGATGTGGCAGAAGGAAGAAAAGTGAGAATAGACGGAATTAAAGAGTAGCCACTAAAGAAGTTCCTGGCAAATTGGAAGGGTGAGTGGCTGCCAGACCATGATTCTGTTTAGAGAATTGAAATGTGTGGTGTATGGGGTTGCCTTTCAGAAAAGTTCAGAAACTGCAGTTGGCCCAATACAAGACTACAATATTGCTAATTGGGACTGAGTGATTCAGTCATATTGCTCCAGAATTTTATTAGCTGCGCTAGTTCTCAGTCCATTTCCAGTCCCAATTCAAAGTGCCAGTATTAACCTTCAAAGTGCTTAATGGCTTAGGACCAGGTCAGATCAAAGATGGCCTCCTTCCACATTTATATACCTGGACCTTGAATGTTCTTCAGAGGCCTTTCTTCAGGTGCCCCCACCAAGTGAAGCAAGATAGCAGACTGCCTGGGGGAGGGGACTTCACAATGGTAGCACTCAGTTGTGAAGTGCCCTTCCCAAAGAGACTCACCTGGTATCTTTGATACGATAAGTTAAGCACCAGATAAAACAAATTCCCAAATCTGAGGTTTTAGTGTCCTGAACCACTATTTATGTGCTGTGTATTTTAATTATCTGCTTCTATTATTATTTTAATATTGTTATGCTGCACACTTTAGTTTCAATGATACAAAATAAAAGAGAAAAATAAAAAACAGTGAGTCACCCAGATAACAATCTTACTGAGTGGCCTTGTATAAATATAGTAAATAAATAAATAAATCATCTATCCACCAATTGTTCCCCAATGCCCTTTTTCTGAGACTGTACCTCTGGTGTCTCCCCATCCTGCAATCTCACATACGGTGTTCGCAGGCACAATGTAACGCTCAGGGGGGAGACAGATCAGTGCCACACGCTGATTCAGAATTGCTGGCCTTCAGGAAGAAAGAAAGAGGCTATAAAACCACCAATATTCAAATAAGAGAGCCAAGATAATGTCACTACAAGTTGCTGGCTGTGCCAGCGTCATGCCTGTGGCCGACTGCTCATTCAACTGCAACGCTTACCGTACTTTTCCATGTATAAACTAGGTTTTTTTTACTTTAAAATAAGGTTTAAAATCTGGGGGTGTCTTATACACGGATAGTGCATATGCCCATTTTCTAAAATTGGGGTCCCCAAAAGTAGGGGGTGTCTTATACATGGGGGCGTCTTATACACGGAAAAATACAGCAATTCTCTGTGTGTGGCAATAGCTGCTGCACATAGCTATCAGCAGGGAGCAGATCCTGTAGGAGATGTCGTTGGGCTCCAGCTCCCATTAGCCACAGCTAGCATGACCAATGGTCAGGGATGCTGGGAACCACTTCTGGAGGGCCATTCCTGGGTCAGGTCCATTCCTGATTTAGGTTGGTTCAGTTTCTGAGATAAGAGGATATTCAAAAGTTATCAGTAGAGGCAAAGTAGGGTTGGCTAGCCTTTCAAGAAGCGTGATGTAAGTAAGATTCCTACTTCTGGCAAGGGCTGTTGATGACCAGTGAAGTTCCTTCTGTTGTGCTTCCATTATTCCATGGCATAAGAGCTTTGAGATATGGAGACAACCACACAACTCACTGAAATCCACTACAGGTGAGAATTACAATCCCATTTCCCTGGAACTCCCCAGGGAAGAGGAGTCTCAGAATTTGGCTTCCATGAGAACATCACCGTTGCTAGGTCCAGGAAAGGGAGGTGCCTGTCAATCAGGCAGAGGAGAAACAACATCCTCAAAACCTAACACTGCTGCTGAATTTAGCCTTGTACTGGATATCCTGTCCCACCTGTTAAAAACTCCTGTTGAAATCCATCCATCACATCACATCACTTTATCTTTCTCATATGCCAACTCCCTCTTGCACATATCACTGCCCTCACAGACTGCTCCCCTGAAAGCTATAGTTCTCCACAGAATGAATCAGAGGAGTAGAATTCTAGCTGAAGAACAGAAGATGGTGTCCCAACTTCCAAGGTGGTAGGAGGCACTCTACACTTGAGCCATCATTTAGTGTTATGCACCTAGGCCAAGAGGCAAGCCAAACAAAAAAATATATTGGCGTCTACTATAATAATAGTGTGTGTATGTATATATCTTTTGATGTAATAATAAAAAATTATCTGTTTTCTGTTAACCTAACACAAAAAGGAGCACAGGAAGCTGCCTTATACTGAACCAGACCTTTGGCCTATGTAGCTCAGTTCTGTCTGCTTCAACTGGCAATGGGGTTCCAGACGGAGTCATCCCAGCCCTATAGGGAGATGCCTGGGATTGAACCATGCATGCAGAACAGATGGCCCATCACTAAGCTATGGCCCTGCCCCTATTTAAAATAAAGGTTAAATGCCAAGGCCCCAAGATAAGACCAACTAGGCAGGCTGGTCCCCCGACCCCAGATTGGGCTGTGGAATTGCACTGGCAGGTATGGAACACTCTCAGTCTTCCATGCACTGCTCAGTCCCACCTCACTGTGCTGAATGTGTGCATTTATGGCGGGTGACGGTCATCATTCCCTTGCCAAGACTTGAAGGTTTCACAGCATCCAGTTGGACTCTCCAACGTCAATGAGGGGGGTCTTCTCAAGAACCAGTGTACACATATTCAAGAATGTGCAAGTGCAATGGGTAAATAGGATCCATCCACATCTTCAGACAGAGCTGGGGAACCTCAGGCCCTGGAACGATATCTAGGCCTCTCTATCTGGCCTCTCTGCAGTTCACACACACCCATTGGCCCTGCATCACACCACAGGTATCTCTGCCTGCCTAGAATGTGTCATTGAATTCTGAGGGTGCCTCTTGCTTGTCTGGATAGGTGTGTGTAGAAAGTAGCCAGCTGTACAAAGATAGAATTTACATTTGTTGCTCTGCCCACTTTTGCCTCTGGAACTGTTTACCATTGGCACATTGCCCGGAAAGGGATGCAGGCTGAAAAACATTCCCCGCCCCTGTTTTAGGATGCAAAACATGGAAGCCACATCCATTCTGTAGTAGACACAGAGCCCATCTCCAAAAGGCACTCACCTCTCCAGTTTCAGCATCACCAGAAGAGACTCGGAGGGGCCACACACAATCTTGGAGATGGGAATGGCCTGTTTGTCAGGGTCGTTGGGACCAGGGTTCCTAAAGAGTGTCCCAAGCCAGACTTCATAACCAGACAAGTCAGCTTCACTGCCAATAAGAGGAACACAGTTATCAAAGGGGTCCAAAGATTGCAATCCTAAATGGCAGCTTCCCTACTTCAACTCCTTTATAAGTGTGTCTGCACAAAGGAGAGCGCTTCTTTCGTGTTAGCATCCCAACTCTGGAACATCCTCCTCAGATAGGCTTGACTGGCTTTGACATTACAGTTGTACCTCGGCTCCTGAACACCTTGGGAGTCAAACATTCTGGTTCCCGAACGATCGAAAACTAGAAGTGAGTGTTCCGGTTTTCAAACTTTTTTTGGAAGCCGAACGCCAGGTGCAGCTTCCATATTTGTTTCGGACGCGCCTGAGCAATCGGGAACCAATTGGAAGCCGTGCCTTGGTTTCCAAACTTTTCAGAAGTTGAATGGACTTCCAGAACGGATTCCGTTCAACTTCCAAAGTACGTCTATATAGCCTTTCTGGTACTAGGTTACGATGTTCTTGACTTTCCAGACATTTTACATTTGTTTATAGTTTACTTTTTGGTTTTAGCTGTTGCTAACAGAGGTCACAGCAAAAGCATATTAAAACAAGCCATACTTTTTTTTAAAAAATGCAGTTTGCAGCTTCCTCCTTTGAAAGTGAACGTGAAATGGATTTACATTTCCTGAATGCAACTCTGGGACAGGAACTGAAGCTGCTGTTGACTGAGTGTTTAAATGAGCTGTGCTAGCTCAGTTTCTGCAAACCACGTGCCCTTTGGATATTTTGGACTACAACTCCCCTCAGCCCTAGCCAGCATGGCTGACCGGAGTTGTAGTCCAAATCATTAAGAGTTGGGGAAAGCTGAGCTAGGATGTTTCTTTACCCATGGCATTCCCCACCCCCCCAACTTTGCAGAGGCTATTTCCATCTAGGATAAATGACTGGCCAACAGTCAATTGTTTCAGCAAGGCAGGCCCTCAGCAGTTTCCTGTGCAGTATCAGGAATTAGGCTCTGCCACCAAACAACAGTACAGTGGTACCTCGGGTTAAGAACTTAATTCGTTCCGGAGGTCCGTTCTTAACCTGAAACTGTTCTTAACCTGAGGTACCACTTTAATGGGGCCTCCCACCACCGCCGCGTGATTTCTGTTCTCATCCTGAAGCAAAGTTCTTAACCTGAGGTACTATTTCTGGGTTAGTGGAGTCTGTAACCTGAAGCGTCTGTAACCTGAGGTACCACTGTACTGCCTTTCCCAAGGGGCACCAGAATGAGATAGCGCAGAAAACCTCAGAGGAAAGCCAGATAAAATGCTTACCAGGAAGAGAAGCACTGGCGTGTGCTAATGACCCACTGCTCATTCACCAACGATCCTCCACAAAAGTGGACTAATTCCCTGTAAGACATATAATACAAAAAAACTGATCAGCTTGCCAGCCTGTTGCTGAGAACTTTCCCTTTTGCAGTGCTTTCATTGCTTGGAACACACAGTGAGAGATGAGTAACAAAGATGAAGGATAAATGAAATGAGGCAGTATCACAGGGCTGAAATCTCCCCTTGAAGCCATTGGATTACTAAGGTGGCTCTTTTCCCATCAGTGCTTCCTGCTGGACAGATTCACTCTGATTTCTTCCCCACAGCAGATGTGTCCAGACCATTGAAAACTTTTCATCTTCCTTACGGAACTCCACCACCAGCATTCGTATATTTCTCACCGATTGCGGATGCTGACCGTCCAAGGCGAGTTCCCAGGTCGCCCGCCCACAATACGAGCCCGAAGCTGCACTCGTTCGTCCCTCCTGCCACATTGGTCAAAGACCACGTTATCTGCAACCAGGAATGTGAGAGCAAAGTCAGGCACAATGCTCCCGGTGGCGAAAAGCAAAACAAGAGACTTCAGCTTCCAAAGCTTGTTGGCAAAGTCCAGGTTCCCCAGCCCAGCCCTTCTCATCAGAACTGCCTCCTTCCCAACAGTCACAGGCATCAGGCACAGGAGACTTACCCGGGTTCAGCAAGTTGGACAGCTTATTGTCACCGGCTAAAAAGAGGAAACATAGGGCTGGTTTACATGTGCAAACACAACACTTGCTTTCTGTACACCATTTGATTACTATATACTTCAGGGCTGGTGAACCTGCAGGCCAAATCTATCCTGCCAAGTCTCTGCAGGTGGCCTGCCAGCCCACAGTAAAACTGGATGCCCCATCTCAACTCTATGCAAGAAAAGGGCAATTTTAATCTCCGCATACTCAGGAACAGACCACACTCATCCCCATCACAGCACTGGGCTGAGAGAAGAAGTTAAATTTCTCCTTGCTGCTGTTTGTTGCAATGGGATGATTTGTCCAGCACAGCACTAAGCTGTGGGAAGAGATTTAATACTGACCAACTCCGTAATGGAGAAATTGTCCTGCTTCAATGCTAAACAGAGAAGAATGGTGTAACTCTCTCCTCTCAGCCCAGTGCTGTAACAGGGTGATTTTAATCTCCAGCCACATGCAATCTTCTACCACATGCGATCATTTTTGCATGTTTTGGAATGCTGAAACAGAGCAACAGTGTGCTTCACAGGCCTTCTTCAAAATAGGTGTAGGGGGTCAAGCTGGGGTTTTAAACATGAAATACAGAATGTGTGTGTCAAATGTTATTCCAATATCAAAATGCCCAAGGGGGTTGCCGTGTTCCACACAAACCTACAAACTAACCAATACAGAACAGGCAAGGTAAGCCCAAGGCTTCACTCCATAGAGTGCACAAAACAGCTGGCAGGGGACGCAAGTTGCCCACTATTGCTAGAACTGCCTGGGAGTGACCAGGACAGGGGGGTCATGTTCATCATGACATTGGCCTAACTCTCAACATTGGCTCAGAGACTCACCACATGGCTTAATAGCACAGTAATCAAACTGAGTTTTCTGATCCATGGTGTAGCACCAGGGGCCATGGCTGTCATTGTCAGGGTTGCGGCAATAATTTTCTTCAAGATGCACAGTGGGGAACATGACAGGGAAGACCCTAGGAGAAAGAAAGGACAACCATCCCTTCAGCACATGAACACTTGACTGCCGCTTGTTCCCTAAATCCCCAAGACCTATCTGGAAGAATTCCTTGTCCTTCCTTGGTATCTGTTGTCATGCAACAGATACCCCACTTTCAATTATTTGTTGTGGTTGATTCAGACATTTGGAAGCACCTGCATTGAGCAGGTATTTGCATTTCCCAGCATACAAATGACAATATTTATATTGTTGGGGTGTGCGCAATTCTTTCCCCACAGCTAGTGATACCATCTTAAATGTAATTGCAGAAGCAACATAACATAATGACGCTAGGCAGAAGGGGTTAATTTTTGTATGTTTTCTTCTTTTCTTTAGAATAAAAGCCAAGCTAAGCCACTCAAATGTGAAAGCACCAACTCAGGTAGTTATTCGCAATATTTAAAGTGATAAACACTGGCAAGGCTACAACATCCCACTCCAATATCCCATTTTGTTGATCTTCTCATTTTATTTTATTTTTCAAATTTAGTTCTTTGCGGGCTGTGTACTCCTTTCTCCAGTGCTAGTACAGATTCCCCCCACAATAAGACAATCCCGCTTCCTCACTGTTGCTACACAGGGATGTGGTATGGTGCCGAGTGTACTGATTCTGTACCAATACAGTGCTGGCAGGTTCAGGTAACCTGAAACATTAAAAATGACAAAGAAGTGCACTTTATTTTACTCTATTCTATCCCCCCCATTTATTTTGGGGATGTACAGGGCTTACAGCTTTTGGGAAAGGAATTGATGGCTAGGCCCCAAAATCTGGGGGGGGGGGGGAGAGAGAGCAGGCTCTTTACCTTCAGAACTCATATGGATGAGAAATTTTCATTAGGACAGACCATCACATACTCACTGTGGTTTGTGAGGTGACTGCTCTTTCCACTTCTGGCAAGTGATTCCCTTCCGGGTTTTACTAACGGTGCCTCGAAATTCAACTCCATTTCCATGATAACAGTCTGTGAGGACAAATGACCCACTTGAGTGCCATTGCCTACTATACACTTCAATATCATCTCTAACACAGCAAACCGTAAGGACATAAAAACAGCCTGGTGGATCAGGGCAATTATCCAGCTAGTCCAGCCTCCTGTTCTCACAGGGCGTAACCAGATGCCTATGAGGAGCCAAGGAAACCATTCCTGCTGCTGCTGTTGTTGTTGTTGAACCACCCTGAACAATTAATCAGAAAACCTGGCAACCTCACTGTTTACCTGCTAACTCTAGGTCATTTATGAACAAGATAAAAAGCACAGGTCTGGATACTGATCTTGGAGGGACTCCACTTTCTCCACTGGAAGAACTTTTCAATAATTCCTACTCACTGCTTCCTGTTTCTGAACCAGTTATTGATCCACAAGAGGGCCTCTAAAAAGGAGACTCAGCGTCATGGGCCCCTGTGCCGTTGCTTTGCGAAAGTCAACTGCAACGGAGAGTCAAGTGTCAGCTGGACCACTTCTATCTGTTTGCTTCTTGGCATTTCCAAAGAACTCGAAAAGGTTTGTGAGACAGGACTTAGCCTTACAGAGGCCATGTTGGTTTGACTTCAGCAAAACTTGTTCTTTTATATAGTTAGTGATTCTATGCTTGGTAGCTGAAAACTTGGAAACCTCTATTGCAACTCTGTCAAACCCTCCAATACCAAATCACATACAAAAGCATTTTTATGGTGCAATATAATGTAATGTAATGTAATGTAATGTAATTATATTGGCACTACCCAGGCTTGAATAGAAAGAGAAAAGAAAGAATCACTGTTGAAAGGATCCCACTCGATCCCAGCTCATCAGACCAGTCCATCCAGCTCTCACCTTCAGTCTGCACATCCTCAGCACAGCGTTTGATTTGCAAGCAAAACGCTGTCCTCATGTTGGGGAGGCTAGTGAAACACCAAGGGGCCTCTGAGCCATCCGGATTCCGGCAATAATTCTCCTTAAGGCCCCTAGAGATTGCAAGACAGAGTATCAGCAGCTTCCTCACCTGCCCACAGAAGCACCAAAAGACTCCTATCTGGGCTCAACTTGCACCTGAAACTTCTGGGGACTGGGCAAATTCAAGAGACCCTCCATGTTCCTGAATAAGGACCTACTTGCACTCATATTTCTCAGGCAGGAAATGGTGACGGTGAGGCATCTGAGAGTCCCAGCGTTGGCAGGGGATTCCCGTTGCAGTGATGTTCACTTTGCCTCGATAGTCTTCTCCTTTCATTCTGAAGCAGCTGGTTGTAGACGGGAGGTGTCGGCGCTTCTCTACTTCCAGGGGTGGAAAAAGGAAATCAAAGCCACAATTATTTCAAAAACCAATTTTACCACACCAATGTAGCATACATCATAAATAAGACAGAAAAAACATGCCTTATGAGGAACGGCTAAGGGAGCTGGGCATGTTTAGCCTGGAGAAGAGGAGGTTAAGGGGTGATATGATAGCCATGTTCAAATATATAAACGGATGTCATAAAGAGGAGGGAGAAAGGTTGTTTTCTGCTGCTCCAGAGAAGCGGACACGGAGCAATGGATCCAAACTACAAGAAAGAAGATTCCACCTAAACATTAGGAAGAACTTCCTGACAGTAAGAGCTGTTCGACAGTGGAATTTGCTGCCAAGGAGTGTGGTGGAGTCTCCTTCTTTGGAGGTCTTTAAGCAGAGGCTTGACAACCATATGTCAGGAGTGCTCTGATGGTGTTTCCTGCTTGGCAGGGGGTTGGACTCGATGGCCCTTGTGGTCTATTCCAACTCTATGATTCTATGATTCTATAGCTACAAAACTAATTCTAAACACACAAAGGCCTTGTGAAACAAAATTTCAAGTTACTCATTGGGGGGAGGGTTGCAGCTGAAGTTTCAAAACTGATATTTTACATATGTGCTTACATTCTGGGTGTTTTTTAAATTAATGATGATCAGTTTCAGAATTGATTTTTAGACTTTCAAGACAGCATTATATAGACTTCACAGCAAAATGCAGATTTGTGTGCATCACCAGTTTGGGGAGTGGAAGTTATGGGGTCAGAGGTCGTGTGCATCAGGTAGATACTGAGGTGAAGATAAATGGGAATTTTTCACCTTGGGTGCCTGTGCATCTTTAGCCACCTGTAGCTGAGTCCCTGCTAAGTGAATTTAGGATTGTTCAGTGTGAGTTTCTACGGACATTTGCAAACTCCCCTTGAGAACAAACATATCATTGCCAAAACTCATTGTCACTGGCTCTTGTGTGGACCTTGGGTTAAAGTGGGCCCAATCTTCTCTATCAAACTGAAAGGGAAAGAGGTGTCTGTTGCTAAATGGCTGCTTTGCCCTCTCCTCCCTTTTCATTCCATAAGAACATGTTGTACTCCCTGTCCTCTCACATCAGCAGGTGAAACAAGCCCAAAATTTATTGGCTCTCAAGTCACTAATAACAGTAGTGGTGACAATGCCACCTCAGAGGGTGAGCAGAAGAGGGAAACCCAGCAGGCAGGGGTCAATCTGCTGAATTTTTCTTAGGAACAGATTTCACTCAGTAGCATACCCTTCAAGACAATACTCACCCTTTTGTTGCTATCAGGTGGAGCCTGAAATCAGGGGTGGAGGAAGGGGGTGCGGTGGGGGCGGGTTGCCCCGGGCGTCACCACTGAGGGGGGTGACAAAATGCCAGGTGGCACTCACCGCAGGGCCTGCAGCGCGCCCGAGCCACACGTCTCTCCTGGGAATGACAGGGTGGCTTGGGCGCCCACAGGCTCCACGCTACCCCAAGCAGTCCGCCTGCCGCCTCCCCCTCAGCTGTAGGGCGGCTGAGTGGGAGGAGGCAGGCAGACTCCTTGGAGGCCCCATGGAGTGTCCTGCCCTGGCTGGCCCTGCCCCGTGGGCGGCTGGCCCCCCTCCTGGGTGCAGGGCACATGCATCGCCCCAGGCGCCCAATCGGCTTGCTCTGCCACTGCCTGAAATCTCAGGAGGACTTACTGCATTTCCGAATGTGGCAATATTCTCGCTCCTTAGTTGGATCTGTTGTGTAACACCAAGGACGCTCGGAACTGTCAGGATTACGGCAGTAATTGTCATCTAGGTCCTTATCGGGGTATCTTTAAGCAGCAGGAGAGAGAAGAAGGATGTGTGTGAAACCACGTGCACAGTGTTTCTATTTTCACTTGCTCCTACAGCAAGCCTCGATTTGCACTTCCTGCAGGAAGATAAAAGGGCAGCTCCTGCTTCTGTCTCAGTCTGTCCTATTTGAATATGTCCCATCCAATATGCGCACATTTCACGGGATGTCAGGACTGGATATCCCCCACTCTGAACAAAGTAGAGATGCAAATAGCTTCTCCTTCTCAACAAACACCACGGTGGCTAATGTAGGCACATTTTTCCATTGTTGGGGGGGCATGCACACCCCTTTTCCTCTCCTCTTTTAAATGTGGGAACCATTTTGTGGTATGAGGACACTCTACATGCAGTGTAGTGTACATACACTCTATGCAGCCATTTTGTGACCAACAGTATTTTCTCAGAATTCCAAGTGCACCCACTGGCCAATTTCTCTTACGGACAATAATAGCCTAGTAGTTCACTGTGAGGCACCAATGTAGCTTGGGGCAGATTCATAGCTGTCAACATTTCCCTTTTTTAAAGTGAAATTCCCTTATTCTGAATAGGATTCCTCGCAAGAAAAGGAAAAAGTTGACAGCTATGGGCACATTCCCACGTCTGCCAAAAAGCTCCATAATGAGGGGCTCCCCAGTCACTTTATGATGTGAAATGTCCCTACCCTGCCCTTTAATATGTTTCCCAAGGACTGGAACTTAGTACTTGTTTGGCTGGTATGGGTGCCTGTGCGGGTGCTGCAGGTCCCAGCGTTGGCACTCTCTGCCAGACTCAGTGTGATCCACGAAGCCACGATAGTCCTCTCCGATACATGACAGACACGCAGCTGTAATTCAAAGACAGACAGAGAGAGTCACTGCAGAATAAAGCCTACTCAAGCCTCACCTGACACCTCAGCTGGAAAGGTGAGGAGAGGACACATTCTGCAAAAGTTACTGGCATGAGCAAACCCCAGAAGACATGAACAGATGAGCAAAACCTGAGCAAGCAAAATTTGTCCCACGCAGCTGGTTTGAGGTGTCCTGAAAGGACAGTGAAATATACTTGGAGTCGCGTAGTGATTTCATGCTCCTTATTGCAGCTCATAAACAGTGAATGAGTTTCCACCCAAAACCTCAGGCTTTATATACATTATTTGCACAATGGTTCCCCTGTGATTGGCTGACTCTGCTTCCCTCCTGGAGCCTGATTGGGCTGCTCCTGCAGGCCAATTGGTGGTTGCATTCTAGGTTCCTACTGACCTAGTAGGCTGATTAACTTCTTCCTGTGGTTTGATTCGGCTGGTCCTGCAGGCCAATCAGGTTGTTGTATTCTAGGATCATACTTGCCTATTGTTCTAGGATCCAAGCTCAGTATATAACAGGTAAGTTCTTTAATTTATTACAGCTGTATTTTTATTTTTCGTTTAGTTTCAGGGAAAGGGAAAAGCACTTGTGGGGTTTTCTGCCCCAAGTGCCACAATCAGTTGGCCACCCATGGCTCTTAGGCATGTTGACTTGATCTGTTGCTCCACCTTAGGCAGCAAAATGTCTTGGGCTAGCCTTGTCAGCAAGCACCGATACCAATGCAAGGCAATGTGAACGTACACATAGAAAGAGAAGGCACCAGGCAACTTGAGCAGACGCCAAACAAGCAAGATCAGACGGAGACAAGATATGAGACTCCTGAGACCTAAGCAGATATCAGAAAACACAAGCAAAGCAAGCTGACAAGAGCCAGCATGCAGTGAGATGAGAGAGGACACCAGACTGGACGTGGGTTGATAACCATCAGCGCCATCTCACACAAATAAACATGCAGAGACACCAGGCAATGCCAGACATCAGACACAAGCAGGTCTCAGTATCATTGCACCATATTTAACCTTGATGCTTCTTGCATGTTGCTTCAAAATCTGCAGCAGATACTGTACAACTAGCAAGACTAAATTTCGAAGGGGGAATTCGCGGACATCTTCAGTTATAGACGATCAAATTAAAATAACTGGGTAGTGTCCAACTAAGGTTTATGCAGAACAGGCCCATTAAAATTAATGGACCTAGCTTAGTCATGATCATTGATTTCAGGAGGTCCACTCTTGAGTAAGATACCACCCATCATTTGCACAATCACAGCAAGCTGAAGCTGGCCCAGAAAATATGTCCTCCTAATCTACAATATTGTGTTCCCATATGGCAATCATGGGGCTCAGCATAAAGGGGGAACAAAAGTCCAGACTAGCTGTTTTCATTACTGACTCTGAGGAATTCTACCTACTGCTGGGTGAGTGCTAGTCAGAGACAAGATATTGGGCTAGTTCATGGAGTTAGTTAAAAATGATGTTGGAAGAGGCTTCACTTGATTTGAAAATCCCACTGGCTTCTTTCACCTGAAAGGCTACAATATTGTGTCTATTTTTCCAAAATTATTGGAGCATTGAACCTGGCAATACCAGTGCTTCAAATGACATTTTTTGTCTTTGAGATGTTTGAAACTGAAACCTCAGTAGTGCAAATGCATATTTGCCAATAATTGTAACTTTGTGAATAATTATGTGAGATTAGTCAGTGGCTCAGCGGGTGAGTGGTATGCAGGTTTCTCAAGCCAATCTACATACCATTTTCACATTTCTTGATGCCACAGCTTTGGTGCCGGGTTGTAGGGTCAGTTGTGTAGCACCAAGGGCCATGCTTATCATCATCAGGATTCCGGCAATAGTTTTCTTCCAACCCATTATATCGTGATGGGGAAAACCTTATAGAACAGAGGCAGAACTGTCAGGCTCAGGCAAATGCTCCAAACCAAAAGGATCCTTTCAGCAATTAATCTAGAACTCTCTGCAAAAATCAACCCTCTGTTTTATTCAAACAGAAACCTCAATTTTGAAGCCACAATTAATTAAAACAAAAGTTAAAATACAGTTGAACAAGTAATTAAAATACAGTTTGCCCTGACAACAGTCCAGCAATCAGCATAGTGAATCCATTCACTTTCAAAGGCTTGTTTGAATACGAAGGTCTTAGCCTGCTGACAGAAGGATAACAAACAACTCCCATCATCTCTGATCATCATGCTGGCTAGGACTGATGGGAGATGGAGTCCAACAACATCTGGAGGGCCACAGGTTCCCTACTCCTGCTCCTGGTCCTGTAATGTTCAACAATGGACATTTCTTAACTCATCCAACACACACACAAGCCCTGGGAAATAATAATGATGATGATGATGATGATGATGATGATGATGTATTTTATACCCCAGCCACTCTGGGTGGCTCCCAACATAATAATAATAATAATAATAATAATAATAATAATAATAATAATAATAATAATGCGACAAAACATCAAACGTTAAAAACTTCCCTAAACAGGGCTGCCTTCAGATGTCTTCTAAAAGTCAGATAGTTGTTTATTTCCTTGACATCTGATGGGAGGGCGTTCCCACAGGGTCGGTGCCACTACCAAAGGGTACAGTGGGACCATGTTCTCACTATTTACACTGCACCTGTATTATGTTGTTGTTTTAGGGATTTATATTTCACTCTTACTTCATCCCTCATAAAGATTTACCTGTGGTCATGTGGAGTCTTTTTGCCCCAATGTTGACAGGTTTTCCCCTTCTCAGTCACCGACTGGTTCCCTCTGTAGCTTGTCCCATTTCCCATGATGCAGGGCCTTATGTAACCTGTGGAAGGGAGAGATGACAAGTGATGGAGATACTCATAAGGCTCATGCACAAAGGCACAGGACACCTGAGCACAGCAGAGCAGTGTAACTGGACTTCTGTCCTTTGATAAATTCCAAGGTGGCATGACACAAGCGGATTAGCATAGAGCAAACGTTAGTTGCCCCCTCATTTTCCCATACTCCACAAAAACATGTGGGGAGGTTCTTAATGGGTATTTTAACTCTCAGCCCCCACCCTGGCCTGCTCCTTGCTGCCCACGGTCGTCTCCCTCTTGACCTGCTTAAGTCAGTGCTCTCACTTACAGCTCACCCAATCATTGAACAACTTTTATTCTCCAAATTGCAGCAGAGTCATTTCTCTGTCTCAAAATAAAGACATCTGTTGACTGAGGGCCCCTCCAGAACATATTTCCACTGCACATTTGTGATGATTCCTCACATTCCCCTTCCTTGCAAAGTTCAAGTCTGCGCCATCCTACCTTTTTTCTGGTAGAGGTCATAGTGGACATTCCTCTGCAACTGAGTGTGGGGTGTATTTTGGGTGAAATTCAGCAGCTGGCATCGATTACTGTGCAAGTTGTAGTGGAAGGCTCTGGAGGAGCAACACAACAGCAGAATAGTCATTGGCCCAGAAAAGCAACCAGAATATTCCACGTCCCATTTTGGCCTTTGCTTCCATATACAACAGATTCCCAGTTATAATAGCTTCTGCTTTCCATTGTTATTTGAATTCTATCTCGGCTGCCTCCTCACACCTCTGTTAATAATAAGCATAAAGTCTTATTGTGCTCATAAATTATTTCGGCAGTCCTGACAGCAACTATGTATGGTAAGTCAATGCCTATATTCCGGCTGTGAAGGTAGAGGTGTTGAAGCTGAGATAGCAGCTTCCTGAAGGCCACCAAGGCTAGATAAGCCAAATACCTAGATTTTAATTTTTTTACATTTCTATCCTGCCTCCCCGCCCCCAACCACCATGGAACCTAAGGCAGTCTACCAGTGATTCTCAAGTGGCCTCCCCATGCAGGCACTGACCACCAGACCCAGACCTGCTGAGCTTTAGCAAGGTGATGACCTTGCGTGCCTTCAGACCATCTCCTGGGACCAAAGGCAGGTCCTTCTGTTCATCCCTGTATGATTCTGTGGCTCCTGTGCCCTTGTGCACCCAGTGTTCTGGCTTAGCCTCTTACCTGCAGTCAAGCCACAAGACACAACCCCGTGCACATTCTTCTAAGGCCTTGGGCTGCTCCACCCTCTGGTAGGACAAATGGACTAGCTTAGTCGCTTTTAGTTTCTGGAAGTCATTCAGAGGAGAACGCTGGCCTGGAAAGACATTTTTAAAATGCACATTGCTCTGGCCCCTTGAAAAGAATCCAGAAACCAACCAGCTCCAGAAGATGCAGGGCACAATCCAGAGAAACAAGCAAGCAAGCAAGCAAGCAAGCAGGGCTCCTAACACTCAAGATGTGATCATCTAGCAGTTTATGAAGCCAAGGAGTAAGGGACAGTTTTGGAGCTGGGGATGGAGAAATCTGTCAATTTTGGTTTCTTTCCATTTCTCATTTTTTCCCAATCTTAAATTCTGTTCTCCTCATTTACACATTGCTTTGCTTTTTTTTTCAAAAAAGAAAAAATCATCTGCAAATTTCTCATAATATACAGTTTTGGAAAGCAATTTCTCCTGATGTAAAATTAATGTTATTTTTCATTAATATGTGGGGTTTTTTTGCACACTTTAGTTGAGTACATCCTTTTTTTTTTTTTTGCATGCATTAGCTATAGAACTGCATTGCCAAATTCAGACCCACTGAATGTTGGTGATGAATCTGTCAAAGGCTCTTGAGCCCTGCCAGGGGAGAGAGGGAGGCAGAGACGCTGCCTAGAAGTTGGGCCAGATTCAACTCAGTTGTTGCTCTAGCCGGAACCAGTGCAACAAGTCTCACCAACACTATGGGGCTGTTTCCCTCTCTCCTCCCTCCATGTGCCTCCACGCCCCCTCCAAATCAGCTCTGGGAGGTGAGGGAGTCTGGAGAAGCCCCAAAGCAGGGCATGGAGGGAGGAGAGGAAAGATTGTTCTATCTAGCAAACAGAAATATCTGCACAGATGAAACAACCACCTTAGCACAATTTTGAGTTCCACCCATTGTGTTTGCTCTTAGCAATTGCTTCTTGCTTGCTTATCTAGAGCTCTGAGGGGACATGAGAGATTGGGATAGCAAGAGTTGGGAGGAAGACAAGCCAGTTCTCTTTCTCACTCTGCTCAGATTGTGTGCTTCAACAGGACTAGAGGCTCTTCCAGACAACCTGCTTATTGAACATCCATTCCAATTCACATGCACAAAGCTTACACTGTGGTTAATGTTTACTGAGCATTTGTTTTTGATTTGCTCATGGGGAATTATACAACCACACGCGCAGAATTCACCATTTGCTTGCAGTGTTTATAAGTCTTCCTGTTAATCAAGTGTTTGTTCCACACTTTGCAGCCTGATTCCCCATCACTTTCCAAACCACAAGGGATTTGTCACACTAGAGCACTTTAATCCACTGTAATCATGCAAACCTAAATTTCCAGTATAGAACTGAATCCATCCCATAAAATACTGACAGTTCGGAGGTGGTCTAGAGTGGAAGCCCCTCACCAGGAATTCTTACCCACCTCTAGTCAGCATATACTCAGAAATGGGAGAGAAGTTTCTTACCTGTGCTGAAGGTACAGCTCAACAGAAGGAGCAGAGCACCCACGGCCTGCATGATTCCCACCGGCAGCACCAGCCTTCCCAGCTTGGCTAAATGGATCTGCCAGCTGGGCTGTGCACACAGGACTATCCCAGCAGGAAGCAAAGGCACAGAGCCCCCCTGACCCCACTGGCCAAATATTTACCCAGAGCTCACGTGTCAGGAATAATTCTGGAGGAGGGAGAGGTTTAGAGGGCCTGGGGTACAGTTGCTCATGGGAGACTTATCTGAGTGGACCTCCTTAAGGACCTCTCCACTCTTTCTTTCCCAGCTCCTTCAACCAGTGGGCTGGCCCCTTCCCCAGGTCCCAGCTGACACAAAACACTCAGGATATTTTGTTTTTAAAAAATCAGTATGACGCAATGTCAAGTTAGGAAATTGCTCCCACCCAGTCCGAGCTGGCCCTGACTCAGGAGCCTTCCCCTTCCTGTAAGTGGCCTGATGGGTGCTACGCCCCACATTCTCAGAAACCTTCCCCAGTGAACAAGCCCCAACGGAGGAAAAAGCTAAAAGAAAGAAAGAAGAAACAGCCAGCACAGAGTGAAGAGCAAGAGCCTATGGAGACTGTTTGCAGGGTTATAACTGGAACTTCAAGCCGAGGGCAGCCACATCCACAAAGCGATAAAAGAAGGCACTTCAGAAGAGCCGAATCCCTAAAGGAGCGGGCAACAGAGCAAAAGGGAGACTTACAAGGAAGTGCACAGCCTGGGGGCAGAGAATGAGGATGTGCACCTTAAATGGATCAAAGCTCTATGTTCTTTAGGCCGTATCTGAAGAAAAGCAGGACCTGCTGCTTTCTGCCTACTGTGCAGCTTTAAAGGCATGTGGCCAGGAAACCAAGGTCCACTGGGAAACTGTTGTTTACACACCCACACACCCACATCATGCCAAAGTGGAGACCAACTTGGTCCCATCCCTTGGCCAGAGAGGGAGCAGCTGCAGGGAGCTTGCTTCAACCTTACATGCTAGAAGAAAGCTCTTATTCAAACTTATTTGAAATAACACTTATAAGAAATAGTGTCTGAATTTAGGTTTTTTCCTTGTCCTGCCCGATCCCTTTTCCTTTTGGGCTGCGTCTTTTAGACTAAAAGTTCAAGGGTGTGGACTGTCTTCTTATGATTGTTGTAAGCTGCTCTAAGAGCCCTTTAAAAAAAGAAGAAGAGCAAAGTAAAAATACTTTTTAAAACAAACAAGTGAATGGGGGCACTGCCAAGATAATGTGTGGCTATTTACACAGTCTAGGAACAGAGAAGTTATTGCTGAGAATATGTTGATTTGGAAAATAGATATCCCAACCAATTTTGTTTCCTTGAATGTATTTGCATACACATGAATCAAAACAAGGGCAATTCCAAGTTAGATTTAAGCCACCTTTTCCTCCTGACAAGAAGAAATTCAATAGGTAACACTTTCTCCAACAGTAACAGGGCATGCACCTGTTCAGTTTCTTTCCATTATGCAGCAGTAGAATGCTGAAAGGCACTGTCAATGTCACACCTGAGGTACACCCTGACAGCATGTTCCTAAGCGTATTTGCTTACAAGTTCTACTGAGTTCAATGAGACACTCTAGTTAGTAAATGTGTTTGGGGTCACACCCTAACAACTAGATCTTATCATGCACACATGGGATACTTCCAGAAAGGGCTTTATACAGATTTCTGGGAATATGGGAACACCATTTAGGTTGCCAAGTATTTAGTTCATTTTTATATGTTTACCATCATGACAGACACTGGATGCTATGCATCTGGCACTGAACTGTGTTGAATTGTCTAAACAATCAGGCCTGGTTTTTCTCAGTGTGTGATTGGCACACTAGCTTTCATGCACTTCTGACCCCAGGGATGGACACTGCTTGCCATTCACACCAATGGGCAGAGCTTCACACAGAATGCACATGGGCTGCGGTTTTTGTCTCTCCCCTCCGAAAGCCCTGCCCTTTATTTCTGTACCCATACACATGCATCTTTAAATATGCAATTCACCGGAAATACACAATAGCAAACTAGTCCTTAGTTATCATGCTTCACAATAGGCTTGTACTTTCAAGGGATGCAGGGTGGAGGGGGGGGCAATATCCATTTAATTTTTTTAAAAAACAACACTGAGGTTTTGTGAAAAAGTGGCATTTACCTACATCAATCTGGAATTTGATTTGGTGGAGTTGAAGTAGGAGGTGGAAACGCACAACTGCAATGAAATATTGAAATCATTGTCGCACTCACACCATTCATTTAAAGCACATGGCTTCCCCCAAAGAATCCTGAGAATTGTAGTTTATCCCTTGTAGAACTACAATTCCCAGCAACCTTAACAAACCAGAGTTTCCAGGATTACTTGGGGGAAGCAGTATGCTTTAAAGGTTTAAATGTATTGTGGGATTGTGACCTATCATAATGAGGTCTTGTGCAAGATCACTGGATTATTGTACGTCTGGTGTATGTACTGTGATGACAGACTCCAAGGTAATCTTGCACATTGTGAAGGTCTTGAGAGGATAGCTCCTCCAAACCAGGTTGTTTGAATCCAGGCATGCTTTCAGCATGTGGCAATAGGTGGATACAAGCGTCTTTTGTTTGGCATTGGAAACAAACCCCGTGCCCAGGTAAGGAGCAAAACAGAAGTATGGACCACCTGCCAGAAACATCACCACACTTGTGACAAACCACCCACCATGAAACAAAAGAAATGATGACTTTTCACACCAGCGGTGACTGTGGATGTGTAACAGGTGATAAATATTTATTGGATTTTCCATATTTATTGAGGTACAGGCTGCCGTTTTGATGACACCGGACACTGCAAAGATGTTCGTGTGCCAGTTCCACAACAAATTCTTGTCTGGAAGCACCCAAACTTAAAAAGACCCACTAAATTCAACAGATCGCCCTTTCACGTAAGATGGCAGCTGAAAAGAAATCCCCCCCCCCGAGGGTTGTCAGTATGGGCGGAGGAGGGGCAGACTTGAGAATGGTGCTTACCAGTGGTGAATAAAAAGGGAAGAATTCTGCAACAGTTTTAGTCAATCCGGAGGAGAGCTGCTGCTCGACGTGGGGGCATCGGAAGAGAGGCCACGGAGCAAGCTGGAACAGGCACAGAAATATAATTAAACACAGGCATACTGTATTCGGAAAGGCTGAAGAGTGCGGTGGACGTGAAATGACAGCAGCCTCCTAGTAGCAACTTTACTAAAAGGTGTGGCAGGAAGGGAAGGTGCTGATATTTTCAGAAAGCAAACGAAGCGGCGCCACCCACCAGAAGGCGACCACGACAAGCACTATTGCCATTAATGGGCGTGCGACTCCCGCCGCAGGAAGATCCAAGCGGACATCTCTCTTTCGGGTGGAGCAACGCAAATGCTTGCAGCTCCTCCACGGCGAGGCTGTGCTCCGATTTCTGCAGCCAGCCTGCTCTGTAATGCCACTGCATCCTCCTGCGGGCAGGACAAATGCTCCTCCTTAGCAATGCCGGTCCTTTTAGTTAATGAAACTAAAGGTGCGGTGACAAAATGGGACTTGAGAGAAATCCACGCCTCGGTCGCCAAGTGCACCTCTCTCGCTCCCTCCCTCCCGTCGCCGGGTTGGGAAGAAACTCGTCCTGAACTTCTGCATAATAAAGTTGTGGGATTTAATCCGCCTCCGCCCTCGCGCCATTTCCCCGCTAGAGAGCGCGAGCGCCAACACATTCCAGCGCCTAACTCGGCACGAGCCGCGCGGGCGACGCCGAAGCCACAGGTCCAGCCCAGGCGCCGAAACGTAGACCGCAGGCTTCTGGGAGTCGTAGTATGTTTGGGCCCCGCCAAGCGTTGCTAGTGCGCGCCTTGATCCGTGGGACTACGCTTCCCAGCAAGCTCCTGTAGGGGGTGGGGTCAAGCCGCGCGGAGCATCATGGGGCTCGTAGTCCAGCCGTAGCGCTGTCACAAAGCTCGCTGGCTCAGCAAGGCGGGCCTGCCAGGACTCCAGCTCCCAGAGGACCCGGCGGCGGCGGCACCGGCACCCGCTTGGAGGGAGGAGGAGGAGCGGGAAGAGGGCGAGTGATCTATCCAGAGAAGGAAGATGGTGGAGCAAGCGGCGTGGTTCCCTCGTCAGGCAGCAACCGGCCCCGTCAACCCGCAGCAGCGCAGAGATTCCTCCGGGCCCCGAGTCGCCTCCTGATAACCGCCTGCCCGCCCAGCCCTGCCATGCCCCGCTCACGCCGGGGCGACGGAGCCCGCCGGGGCGGCCGAGGTGAGCGCGGGGAGTCGGGGGCTGCTTCTCGCCCTCCCTTCGGCCGGGGTTTGGCCGAGAGGTGGGGTGGCGGGCGCGGGAGTCACTCTGCTTAGGAGAAATAGAAATCCGGATCAGGCGCTTGGTCCGCGCGCGCTTCTGCTTCTTCTGCTTCGCCCGGGGATCCCGGACAGCTGTTGCGCCGCGTGTCCGGACGAGGTTGGCGCGCGTTCGCCTGCGGGGCAGATCTCCACCTCCTCCGCCCAGACCATTCTCTCCGCTGTCCATCTCTCTCTTCCGCAGGGCGGAGGGGCCCGGGGGTTGCTGTGGGAACGGGGTACGAGGAGGGCTCAGTAGGCAGCTGCCCAGGCAGCCTTCACGCCTCGACTAGAGAAGCGGGAGCCGCCCGATCGGAGCTTCTCCAATGAAGGCATTTCAAAGGGGGCGGGGGGCTCTCGGCCCCACTGAGGAGTCCGGGTGGTCTCCGGGCTCATTGGGAGCACGGCTGTCCCCAGCCCCTCACCACGTGGCCTTTGAGAGAAGCCGCCCGGCTTTTCTGTTTCCTCGTTCTCCAGTTGCACATCCCGTCCCAAGGCGCCTTTCCCTTTCTCACTTCCTGCTGCCGCGCTTCACTTCAGAGCGGAGTGCCAAAAGGGCTTTAGTCCGACGCGTAAAACCATGGCGGTGTTTCCGAAAGTGACACGTGTATCTCTGTCTCATGTGCATGCATTCCCCTTCGTGCGAGGCGAAGCACATGCATTCAGGCTTCCTGTTTTGCCCTGCTGTGGAAGTGCTTCTGAAACTCCCGAAGTGGCTTTGGCCTTTGCTGCTAGGCTTCACAGAGGCATCTGGTTGTCCACTCTGGGTAGCATGAGATTGTCCTTTATGGGACTTTGCTATGATCCAGCAGGGCTGCCTATAACAGTTGAGCAATGGAAAACAATAAGCCACAAATCAAGCCTTCCAGATAAGAGGATGGTGGAAAGAAACACAGCTTGACAGAAGTAATTGAATGTTCCTATAGCATACATTTCTTCTGAAATGCTTATTTCATATCTTCTGGTTGCCACTTTCTAACCCTGGAGCAGTTCCTGGGTGGATGCATCTGATTAATCCATATGATAAACTGATTGCAGTTTGCTGATTTCTTTGGCCAGTTAGTAAGAAAGAATGCCCTTGCTTAGGATTTGTTGCTTTTATATAGCATAGCTTGGCTACTTGTAAGCAACAGTTCAGGCATGTGGGCTCACCCTTCTCTCCATTTGCATGCTCATCTAGCTTGTCTTACAGTTGGATGCTTTTCCTGTTTGTTCAGTGATAGAAGTCAAAGAGTTAGATCACTGCTGTTGCAGTCTTAGTTCTTACTGAGGTCGTAAACCTGTTTTGTGGTCCATACCACTTCAGGTGGGTGAGATCCCATCATTTACCACCACCCCCATCAGGGGTTGCCAGAGTGATGCCTACCTATCTTGGCACCTCTCTCTTATGGATGGGTCATGAGATGGATGAAGCTGCTGTCAGTCAGTGTAAATCAGGCATAGGCAAACTCGGCCCTCCAGATGTTTTGGGACTACAACTCCATCATTTCTTATAACAACCATTTGATGACTATGTTCTTTGAAGTGTTTATTTAAAGCAAATAATAGGCTCAAACTCAGGGTCAAACTCTCCCAAAGCAGCTTCTGGCATAAAAAAATCCAAATGTGTAGTCGATAATCTGTTACTTAGATGCAATAACATTACCAAATTAGTGTTACTGTTGGTCATTCAAATCACAAACATTTCCAGTAAAAATTATGAAATTAGATAAGCAGCTTAAAATTAATTCCTCTGTTTAAGAGAGATAGAGAGAAGGCAGTTTTAAACAAATGGCTCTTAAGGGCCCCCAGTGATGGAACCTTACATTGCTCAACTAGAAAATAATTTTACAGCCATGGGGCGCCACTGAGTAGTTCCTATTTACTGCTACACATGAAACTGGAACAACCTTGAGAAGTGAAGCTCCGCTTTAAGCAATCTAAGCTGTTTGTGTCCAGACATCTTCAAGTTATAAGGTGTAATAGAGCAAATACGGGAGAGTGTGCAATTATAGAAGGTATGCATTATAGTAGCTTTATTATCCTGTGTTTAATTCTTCAAAGTCTGTAGACACCTGGATTGACTGTATCTCACTCTGGTCAACCCCTGTGTAAAATTATAATCCTTGGCTGGAATTACCCGCTGTGTGACTTCTGTGTACCTTCTGATATAGGCCAGGCCAGGCCAGTGTATGGCTCAGTGGGCCAAGCAGCATTGCTAGCCATCTAGGCAAAATTTCTGTTGCGGATGGCACAATAAAGTGAAATTATCTAGCGGAGTCTTTCTGGAGGGTTGGAAACAATTACATTTGTGGAAGGGTGGCTTTGCATTGTGCTTTTTTCTTCTCGCTTTAAAGGCACACTTCTTCTTTAAAAATTGCCTACAATGCGGTGGGGGGGGGAAACATAGCACTTGTGACCTTTACAGGTGTACTAAACAAATTTGTTTGCCCCTAAGAACACACAGCTGTAAGTGTCCCAGTCCTTTTATGTTTGCTTTTTGACATCAGCAGCGGGAGAAGCACCTGCTTCTTACCTGTGTGCTGTGGAACTCTCTGGGAATCAGCATCTGTCTTTCAGCTTGACTGTGGTGTCATGTGGAAAGCGTGCAATACTCTCTCGACAGATATAAGCTGATGCTGCTTATGTAACAGTCTGGAAGCATGTGTATCCTGTGTGCTGCCATGCTCAAGTACGGTAGGTCTTTTTAGAATGTTATTGTGGAGGCAGTGCTTGCAGCATGTGTTGTTGTTCTAGAAACCTTTTGGAAATAGAAGCCTTTTTGTACTGTGGCAATCGACAATAGCCTGGCCACAGTTATCCATGCTCGAGTAGCATCTTTGGCTTGGCTACTGCCTTGCATTGTTTGTGGGGTGAAAGAACTCTTGGAAGGCTGATTTGGTTTAAAATACAGCAGATAGGCTGCTGTCTGGCATGGACTACGTGAAACAGATCTCAGGCTTCCTTATGTTTTCAGCCATAATTGAAACTGTTCTTTTCTCCCCTTATTTCTAAGAGGACTTGACTTTTCTGTGGTGGCTGTCTGCCTGTAGGTTGCCTGTCCTAGGTCTGTATGCCCAACACCCAGTGTTGTGTTTTAAAAGGTAAAGGTAAAGGTACCCCTGCCCGAACGGGCCAGTCTTGACAGACTCTAGGGTTGTGTGCCCATCTCACTTAAGAGGCCGGGGGCCAGCACTGTCCGGAGACACTTCCGGGTCACGTGGCCAGCGTGACAAAGCTGCATCTGGCGAGCCAGCGCAGCACACGGAAACGCCGTTTACCTTCCCGCTAGTAAGCGGTCCCTATTTATCTACTTGCACCCGGGGGTGCTTTCGAACTGCTAGGTTGGCAGGCGCTGGGACCGAGCAACGGGAGCGCACCCCACCGCAGGGATTCGAACCGCCGACCTTTCGATCGGCAAGCCCTAGGCGCTGAGGCTTTTACCCACAGCGCCACCCGCGTTGTGTTTTAAGCACCAGGTAAAAACATTTTTATGTACCTAGGTATTTTAGTTCAGAGTGTGGATAGTGCTCTTCATTTCTTTGAATTACAGTATTTAGGTTGGGTGGGCTTTATGGTGAGATGTACTCTATGCTTTCTATTTAAGAGGTCTGTGACAGTATCCTGAAAAGAAAGCCAATTCCCTTACAGAAATGTCCTCATTTAGAAACCACCATTTTGTCTCTTCTTGTATTTGTCAAGTACGCCTTTTACACTGGAGCTGCCTCCCAAACTCATCTCAGTAAGTTTCCCTCCCACTCTCCAAATGTTGTTGTGACTTTTCCTCACAGGCTTCCTTGCCGGTTCTAATCCCTTTTTTAGCCTCCCTCTCTCTGCCTCTAGAGATGCTGGATTCCCATCAGCTCCATCCTGCACTGCCAGTAGCCAGGAATGATTGGGAGTTGCAGTCCAGCAATACCTGAAGGCCTGCAGTCCCTCATCCCTGCTCTATCTAACTCCCATGTATTGCTTTACAGAAGACATTTGCTATAGGCAAGGGCAAGGCACAGTGGGTGGTAAGCATTTTTACATCCTGTTGATTTCAGTGGGAGAGTTAAGCATATGCTGGATTCGGTTCTGTGAGTCTTAACCTGTTTTATTTGCATAGTCTATCTTTCTCTCCTGAGCTTGTAAGTCTTTGCCACTTAAGAATCCTGGCCTTTTGCTTTCCAATGGGCTGCTCTTGACAGGAGTACACCAGAGGCCTAGTCAAGGCAAAGACCACATGCCCAAGAGTGCGGTGAAAGAAAAGAGTGCTAAAGACATGATCTACACTAGAACCTAACTACATGCCCTGTTATGCATGTGATTAGTAATCACGGGGTTTGTGTTTAAAAATTAAATAATAGAAAGAGGTAGGTACCAGGATCAGCACAAAGCAAAGGAAAATGCAAGCTCTTCTTCCCCAGCCAACAGTCTCTGTGAAATTCCCAACCCCAGTGCAGCAATTAGCATTGGGGAAGCCAAAGCAGCAGTGCTGGTACACTAGAAAAACCCGCAAACCAGTAAGAAGACAATTCCTTTATTAGGACTCACAAAATAGTGAGGTGGCTTTTAAGTGATGCAGAACTCCTCATCAGGC